TCATATGGCAAGTGTGACTTTTTTTTTTTTAATTTTTTTTTTCAACATTTATTTATTTTTGGGACAGAGAGAGACAGAGCATGAACGGGGGAGGGGCAGAGAGAGAGGGAGACACAGAATCGGAAACAGGCTCCAGGCTCCGAGCCATCAGCCCAGAGCCCGACGCGGGGCTCGAACTCACGGACCGCGAGATCGTGACCTGAGCTGAAGTCGGACGCTTAACCGACTGTGCCACCCAGGCGCCCCGGCAAGTGTGACTTTTTATAGGCATGATTGAGTCAAGGGTCTTGAGGTGGGGAGGGTATCCAGGTGGGCCCCAAGTGCAATGTGATGGCAGAAGCAAGGTAGGGGAAAAGCGGATGTGATATGGGGACACGAGCCAAGGGATGAGGCCAACCTTCTAGAAGTCAGAAGAGGCACACGACAGAGTCTCCCCTGCAGCCTCCAGAGGGAACCGGCCCTACCACCCCCTGCCAACACCTTGACCTGAGGATTTCTCACCCCCACAGCTGTGAGCTAAGACCTCCATTGCGTGTTGCATTGTGTAAAGTCTCTAACTTTGCGTTAATTTGTTGCAGAAGCGATAGGAAGCTGATACCAAGGATATGCTCTTTTTTGTGTGTATAAATAATGACCAGTAACTGTCTAAAATGGTTGTTCTTGTCTATATTTGTGAATACTGCTTTTCCTACATCCTTGCCAGTCTTAGACATTTCCAATCACTTTCACTTTTCTTCGTAAGAGGGCAAACGTTTTATTTTTCATTTTTTAAAAAACTATAGATGTTTTCATTCTGATGAGACTCGGACATCTTTTCAAATATTTAGATTTCTTCTTTTGTTCATTACTTGTTTCAACTGTGGTGGTTGTTGTTCATTTTCTTGTAAGAGAACTTCCCTTTTTATTTCTAAAATTACAGGTTTTTTTAAAATGTTTTATTTATTTATTTTTGAGAGAGAGAGTGTGTGCAAGCAGGGAAGGGGCAGAGAGAGAGACAGAGACAGAGACAGAGAGAGAGAGAGACAGAGAATCTGAAGCAGGCTCCAGGCTCTGAGCTGTCATCACAGAGCCAGATGTGGGGCTCGAACTCAGGAACTGTGAGATCGTGACCTGAGCCGAGATCACGAGTTGGATGCTTAATTGGCTGAGCCACCCAGGCTCCCCTACAGGCTTATATATATATATATACACACACACATATATATGTATATATATATACATATGTGTATATATGTGTATATATATATATATACACATATGTGTATATATGTATATAATGTATATATGTATATATATACATATATGTATATAATGTATATATATATGTATATACATATATGTATATAATGTATATATATATGTATATATATATTTACTACTAATCCCTTGATATAGCGAGAACAGCAGCCTGATGGCAGGAGGGGGGGGGGGTGGAGAAAGCCAGAGCGCACCGCGCCTGATGTTTGCTGCTTAAAACCTTGCCTGCCTTCTGAGAAATGTTTCTTGCCACCCTGTGTTCCTTTTAGTGGACCCCTCTCTTCCTGCTTGGCTGTAGGAGCCCTGCCTAACTAAACAAGATCATTCCCCAGGACATTTTGAGAGGAAAAAGTCCCTTTCCCTTCTGGTTGCGATGTGATGGCTGTGACCTTGAAGCTGCTGACAGCCATTCATCCCCTGAGGGTGTTCGACCCACATGTTGATGAACGCCTGCTGGGTTCCGGTTTCTGTTCCAGACACCGGAGCTACAATGATGAGGTTTTGGGGTGATGGTGGGGTGGTCCAGAGCCGATGGCCAAGAAAAAACTCTTGAAAAAGATGTCTTTGGTGCAAAACGGTGATTTTATTAAAGCCCAGGAACAGGACCCGTGGGCAGGAAGAGCTGCCCTGGGGTTGTCAGGAGAGACTGGTTACATACCCTCAGGTTGGGAGGGGGGCAGGGAAAGCATAAGTCTCTAAGGAATTTTGGAAGCAAGGTTTCCAGGACCTTGAGGGGCTAGCTGTTGCTAAGGAAACACCATTTATTACCATCTAATAAAACCCCAGTCATGAGACCCTTCAGATGCATATCAGGGGGCCATAAGCTTAGAGTACGATTGCCAGCATATATCTTGGGGCAGCTGAGATAAAGGAAATTGACTTGCAGAATCCTCGAGGTTGGGATAATATTAAGCTAAGGTTCTCTCTTTGCCCCCAGCAAAGTGTCATCATCGAGGCAGCTGAGCCCCTGGAGGACGGTCACTCTGCCCGTTTCAAGGACTTGTCAGTGGGCGGTAGGCAATAAGGGAAATGAATTTTTCATTTGCCTTAGTTTCCCACGTCGCCACGGCCAGCACTTAAACCCCGTTCCTTTGTTCTCGGGTAGGCAGGCGTGTCCCAGGAATATCACACAGATCCCGCCTGGAGGGAGGGCGTGCTGTTAGCCTGTCCTCTGCCCTCAGCTTGCCCCACGCTCCCTCATTAGTTAACAAGACAGATGGGGTCCCTCTTCTCTGGAAGGAGAGGAATACGGAGATCCAATAAGGAAAAAGGGGTGATCGTGTCTGATTGCCCCGAGTTCTCTGCAGCTCATCAAGGAGCCCATAAGAAATGATGAGCAGCAGAAGCCGATGGGAGAGTCTTTGTGAGTGGGCAGTGTCTGAACTGAGATCCTTCTGGATGAGAAGGGACGAGCCAGGCAAATAGCTTAGGAAGAAGTGTTCCGGGCAGGGCTCCTGAGGGAAGGATGAGCTTGGCCATCAGGGCACTAGAAGGAGGTGACTGGAGGCGGAGCTTAGTGACAGATGGAGGTGACAAGGCAAGTGGAGGGCAGCGAGGTAGGTCGCACGCCTTGCGACACGAAGAAACTGGTTTCTGCTATGCAAAACAGAAGCGTGCACGGGGAGAAGTAGAAACCAGAAGGTCCAGAGAGTCCGTGAACCCAGTTCTCCTCGTCCTCACAGCCACCTCCAAACCCATCCTTCCGACCAAATACATGAGCCAGAAAGTCCCCTTTATACTTCGGCGGGGTCTTCTGTCACTACCATCAAAAAGGCTGTGATGGATTGGTCGAGACACACGAATATAAAAACGACTGGAAAGGGGCGCCGGTTGGTCGAGCGTCCGACTTCGGCTCAGGTCATGATCTCACAGTCCGTGAGTTCAAGCCCTGTGTCGGGCTCTGTGCTGACAGCTCAGAGCCTAGAACCTGCTTCCGATTCTGTGTCTCCCTCTCTCTCTCTCTGCCCCTCCCCCATTCACGCTCTCTTTCAAAAATGAATAAATGTTAAAAAATAAAAAAAAAGATTGGAAGGAATTACAGTAAAAAACCTTGGTCTGTGAGCAAGCATAATTCGTTCCAGAAACATGCTTGGGATCCAAAGCACTCATACATCAAAGTGAATTTCAAGAACCACTGGCTCAGGTGTGATCATGTGACTTTCGGCATCCCATACTACTCCTATGGCAAGACATCGCTCCTTTATCAAGTCCAACTGTATTAGAAATGTTCGCTCGTCTCGCGGAACACTCAGAACAAGTTACTCACAATCTAAGGTTTTATTGTACGTTGAAATATTACCAGCGATATACCTGGGTGATAGAAAGTCAACTTCATCTGCCATGCAGTTCTGTATTTTCTTAATTCAGTACGTTGACCGTGCTGAACTTACAGAATTTTTACGTTTGCGGGGTTCTGCTTCTGATTATATTTTCTGACGCTGGCCCCCTTCCCCCCAGCAGAGGTCACCAGGACAGCAGTGCCAGCATGACACTCACACGGGTGCTGTCCTTCATCCCTGCCCCTGACAGGTTTTCAAGACCAAATGTGAAAACAGCTGCAAAGGCTGGGGCGCCTGGGTGGCTCAGTCGACTGAGTGTCTGACCTCGGCTCAGGTCATGATCTCGCAGCTTGTGGGTTCGAGCCCCACTTCGGGCTCACGCTGACAGCTCGGAGCCCGGAGCCTGCTTCCGATTCTGTGTCTCCTTCTCTCTCTGCCCCTCTCCTGCTCATGCTCTGTCTTTCTCTCAAAAATAAATGTTAAAAAAACAATTTTTTTTAAGAAAATAATTGCAAAAGCAAATGGAGCATCTTCCCAGAGGCTTCCATCAGGAAGGTGCTAGAAATAATCCCCCTTCGTTTGTAGATTCCCAGGCCCAAGAGCACCCCCAAATTAATTTGGCACAGGGGACCTAATCTTCACAATCAAGATTTTTTTCCCCCACTTACAAAATCAGCTCCCACAATGAGCGCTTGTGAGGTCACAGGCTTCCCGCTGATGGTCACGCAGACCTTAAGTCAACGTCACCTGCGTTTATGACAGTTTCACTTACAGATTAGCAGGTCTGTCTGCTCCCAATTTGCAGATGGAAACACGGAGGCCTGGAGAGCTGAAGTGACAGCTTGGGAAGGCCAACCCTTTCGGGCCACATCTTCCCAGGGCAAGTGACAGTTGGGGCCGAGGACAAACCCACGTGTGGGCAGAGGCAGTGACGGCTCAGCCTGTGCCCAGCCTTCGGCCCAAATTATTTCCTGGCAGAAAATGTCACTTTGCTATCAGGACAGTCAAGTGCGGTAGAACGAGCTGATGGAAGAAAGGAGTTTAATTAAAGGGAAAAAAATTGGTTGGGTTAACAGTGCTGTTCTTTTCCATCCAGGATGGAAATTAATTTATAATAACCTTATCTTTTATTCATGGCAGGCCGCCCGTTTCAGGGTGCGTTGGCATCCCTCTCTTTTTCCGTTCAATGTGAAATAATCGTGCGTCTCTAATGGGCCGCGAGTCTGTTAAAGAGCCGAACACACAGAGCTGAGCCTCAGCTCGCCGTCCGGGAAGGCTGGAGCCACCGGAGACCAGCTTTGGTTCCTTTTTGATGAGTCATGACATTTCGAATTCAGAGGGCTCGGCAGGCTTCAACGCAGCCTGTTCAGATTGAGCGCTCCGGAGCCCCGCTCCCATTAGCGGCCCAGGACATAGAAAGCCCATTGCTCGCTCGCCCCTCACGACCTCCTCCTCTCTCCTCAGACCAACCTGACGGAGCTGAAGTCCTTTGGCACCCCGCCACTGGCAGTCAGCAACGTCACGGCCGCGGTGATGACCCTCATCGCCCCCGGGGGCAAGGTCCCCAAGGACCGGAGCTGGAAGGCCGCGAAGGTCAGCATGGCCAAAGTGGACACTTTCCTGGACTCCCTCGTCAACTTCGACAAAGAGAACATTCACGAGAACTGCCTCAAGGCCATCAGGCCGTATCTGCAGGACCCAGAGTTCAACCCCGAGTTCGTGGCCACCAAGTCTCACGCGGCTGCGGGCCTCTGCTCCTGGGTGATCAACATCGTGAAGTTCTACGAGGTGTTCTGCGACGTCGAGCCCAAGCGCCAGGCATTGAGCAGAGTCACCTCGGACCTCACCGCCGCCCAGGAGAAGCTGGCAGCCATAAAAGCCAAAGTCACCGTAAGTGAGGCCAGAGTGCCCCCAACCCTTCTGGGCAGGCTCCCCTGCTTCCCAGCACCGGTGCGTCCCGAATTTTTTGTTGTTGTTGGATGTTTGTTTCTTTTTGACAGAGAGCGCAGGGGAGGGACAGAGGGAGAGGGAGACACCGAATCTGAAGCAGTCTCCACGCTGTCAGCCGTGAGCCCAACGCGGGGCTCGAACTCACGGACCACGGGATCATGACCCGAGTCGAAGTCGGACGCTTAACCGACTGAGCCGCCCAGGCGCCCCCTGAGTGTCCTGATTTTTAGAGAGAGGCAGGAAAACCAAAGTGCGATGCAAAAGCTCCTGATTTCTCAGTAGAGGCGAATTTTTTTCTTTCTCAGCTACTGTATAGTCCACACGAGACAAATCCACCAGACCGTTGGTTTTAGGTCACCTGCACCATTCTCTGGAAGCTTTTAAAAATGGATAGTGTAATGTCATTTGGGCAGGTGGTCCCTTGACCATAAATATGAAACTGTGAGGGTTGTTAGCTTTTATTAACCTCTTGTGGATTTTTTGATTGCATCCACCACTCTCAGGATTGGGGGATGGGGTAATCTTGGATTGACACCTGTTTGAGAGAGATTCCCCTTGAACTTCACCTTTGCCCTTAAAACGGAAACCACCAAAGCGAAGGTAGAAATCGGAGTCCCACAGGATGGCAGAGCCGTTGACCATCCAGTCCAGGCTGTGCCCTTTACGCATGTGTGACCTTTAGAAAGGCCTTCAAAATGCCCAAACTTAATGAGTGCCTGGGTGACTCAGTTGGTTAAACGTCCAACTCTTCGTTTCAGTTCAGGTCATGATCTCAGGGTTCGTGGGTTCAAGCCCCACGTTGGGCTCTGCATTGACAGCCTGGAGCCTGCTTGGGATTCTCTCTCTCTCCCTCTCTCTCTCTCTCTCTCTCTCTCTCTCTCTCTCTCTGCCCATCCCCTGCTTGTGCGCACTCTCTCAAAATAATTAGCTAAAAAAAATTAAGTGCCCAAACTTAAGTTTCCTGAAGTAAAATGGACACAGTAACATCCCGCTTCACGAGATCACAGTGAGGACCAAAGGACAGCGTGCCCGCAGAGCCCGTGGGACCACGCCCAGGGGCTCAGGCTGCCGCGCTGCCCTGGTCACGACAACTATCGGTGCACCACCTCTCCTGTCCTTCCTCCTCCTTCCACCCCCTGTGTTCGCTCACAGGCGTGGCCAGGTGCTGGGGATCAGTCATTCCCGTGATCAAGTTCAATCCAAAACACTTCCTGGGTCCTTCACGTCTCCACGTGCATTCCAGGCACGTAAGATTCTTACAGCAAGTGCGTCACGATGATAAGAAAGGGTTTTACAGATCATGAGATGCAAGGTGGCAGACTAGATCAAATTCTACGGCTCAGGGCGCCGGTTCAAAGATCCTTGCGGCCAGTCTCTCTCTAAAGGTGCTTTAAAGCAAAGCAGCTAATCTCTGTATGTTTGCCTTATGAATCCACATGTTGCGGGCCCGTCTACTCAAAGCAGGTGATAATCACCACAACGATGCCCTTCTTCAAAGAATACAAGGTGCATAACACCCTAACGTCCGCAGGACTGATGGTTAAGGGGGAAAGCGTCCTGACTGTTTTCATACTCTGCAGAATCTCCCAGAAAAGTGTTAAGAACTGCATTTTGAAGGATTCTTTACTCAAGTTATTTTAACTAAAGGAACATTTGGTGCAGAGGGAATGTTTGCAAAATGTTTATACCTATTCAGTAGCCAACATTCGCATGATGGGCCCACTCAACGTGTGAAAGCAATGAGCAGATCTTTCAAATACTTGGCTACCTTAGGAAGGCACCGCTCTTCTGCCAAAGTGTTTTTTGGGGGAAAAAAATGTATTTTTGCTTTTAACAACCTTCTCCCCATCCTTTGCTTATCCACACTCCTGTCAGCGTCCCAAGAGTTTGAAAACTCCCCCACTAATGACAGAGGTGAGGGGCTGACATCCACCCCGAATGTGAAGGGCCACCCCGGGCAAGGAAATTCTTCCTATGTGCCACGGTGGCCATGGGCAGACTTCTCTAGTCCCCAAGCCTTATTTTTAGGATTTTAGGATAATTCCAAGTAAAGAATGTTCTATCCAAGATACAGTTTAAAAAATTTTTTTCCAAACAGATTATAAAATACATAAAAACACAAATAGTTGTAGTTTTACCTGGGGGGTATATTTTTTTAAGTTTTTTTTATGTTTATTTGTTTTTGAGAAAGAGAGCATGAGCAGGGGAGTGCCAGGGAGGGAGGGAGACACAGGGTCCAAAGATCCAAAGCAGGCTCCAGACTCTAAGCTGTCAGAGCAGATCCCGACGCGGGGCTCGAACTCACAAACCACGAGATCGTGACCTGAACCGAAGTCAGGTGCTTAACCGACTGAGTCACCCAGGCTCCCTTGGGGAGATATATTTTGAATAAGTTTTGCTTATTGGCATTTTCTTTCTTTCTATAATGAGCATATACTAATGTTACAGTTTATAAAAATAATAGTAATAAGGGGCACCTGGGTGGCTCAGTCAGTTAAGCATCTACTTCGGCTCAGGTCATGACCTTGCAGTTCATGAGTCTGAGTCCCGTGTCGGGCTCTGTGCTGACAGCCGGGAGCCTGGAGACTGATTCAGATTCTGTGTCTCCCTCTCTCTCTCTCTCTGGCACTCCCCAGCTCACACTCTGTCTCTGTCTCTCTCAAAAATAAATCAACGTTAAGAAATAAATAAATAAATAAATAAATAAAAAATCTACAGGAGATCATTGTAAAAATCTGATTTCTGGCCAGTCTTAAAGTAATCAGAAGATTCTAAAATATCATGAACTGACCCTGGAGTTGAGTAGCACCTTGCCATCCAATCCAGTTTGGTCGTAGTCCCCACCAGTGCCTTCCCCAAACCCTCCCAGTGCTAGACTCATCTGACCAGCTTACATCATCTTCCAGACCTCTGTCATCTGAACTTCTGACTTCCACCTGTGTGCTGGGCTGACGTCCTGTTTTTGTTTTTGTTTTTTTTTTTTATGAAATTTCTTGTCTCATTGGTTCTCATACAACACCCAGTGCTCATCCCAACAGGTGCCCTCCTCAATGCCCATCACCCACTTTCCCGTCTCCCCCCACCCCCCCATCGACCCTCAGTTTGTTCTCTGTATTTAAGAGTCTCTTATGGTTTCCCTCCTTCCCTCTCTGTAACTTTTTTTTTCTCCCTCTTCCCCTCCCCCCTGGTCTTCTGTTACGTTTCTCAGGATCCACATGAGTGAAAACATATGGTATCTGTCTTTCTCTGCCTGACTTACTTCACTTAGCATCACACTCTCCAGTTCCATCCACGTTGCTACGAATGGCCAGATTTCATTCTTTCTCATCGCCAAGTAGTATTCCGTGGTGTATATAAACCACACCTTTATCCATTCGTCGGTTGAGACATCCTGTTACTTGATGGACCTTATGCAGGCAGTTGACTTCCTGCTAGATGAGGCCCTAAGGTGTTCATCCCCACGTCTCCCCAATGATACCATCACGACAACTTCTTTTGGTTGACATGACCTTTGTTTCTTGCCCTCTCACACAGAGGCAGCTTCATAAGGAACCCTCAGTTTTCAAGAAAAGATGATTACCCTTTCCATCAGCTCTTCCCCCGAACTCCTCCCTCCCAGCTTCTGTTATCATTACTGATTGTTACTTTTGCTTTTGAATCATCAAGACTTCATTCTGTTCTGCCACCAAAAATGAAGGGTCCCATGCTCTGTTCCCTGATCGGAAAAGTTGAAAAATCAGCAAATTCCAATTATATTCTATGAACCTACCTATATTGTTCATAGCAGATCTAACTGATACATTAGAATTACATGTCCTTTTTTCAGTAGAAATTTTCATTTGTTATTTCTTGGTAACAACCACAAAATGCTATGTGAGCTAATGAACAAATTCTGAAAACGTGAAGGATATACCATGAACACACAAAAATTGCCATTTCTATACATAAGCATTGAATGATCCAAAAAGATTAATAAAACAATTCTGTATGGGGCACCTGGGCGGCTCAGTGGGTTAAGCCTCCGACTTCAGCTCAGGTCATGACCTCACTGTCCATGGGTTCGAGCCCCGTGTGGGGCTCTGTGCTAACAGCTCAGAGCCTGGAGCTGCTTCGGATTCTGTGTCTCTGACTCTCTCTCTCTCTCTCTCTCTCTCTCTCTGTCCCTGCTCCACTCATGCACTCTGTCTCTCTCTCAAAGTAAATAGACACGTTAAAAAAAAAGAAAAAAGAAAACAACTTTTTTGAGGATAGTTGACCCACAGTGTTACATTCACTTTCGAGTGGACAGCATAGTGATTAGACAAGTCTGTATGTTCTGCTATGCTCAGCACAAGCGTCGCTATGACTTGTCACCATACAAAGCTATTACAGCATCATCAACTGTATTCTCCATGCTGTGCCTTCTGTCCTCGTGACTTACCCATTCCATAACTGGGAGCCTGTATCTCCCGCTCCCCTTCACCCATTCTGCCCATCCCCCTACCTCCTCCCCTCTGGCGACCACCACTTTGTTCTCGGTATTTGTAGGTCTGATAATGCTTCTTACCGAAAACAATTTCTATTTTTAATACGTTTCCTTTTTAATACGATCTTTTCCCCTCCCCCTGGAGTTTCTACTGGCCTTTATTTTTTTTTTCCTCTGCCATTAATTCCTTTTGTATAGCCTCAATTACTCTTTTATTAAAGTTTACTTTTTATTTTGAGAGAGAGAACGCAAGCAAAGAAGGGGTGTGGGCGGGGAGGTGGAAGAAAGAATCTCAAGCAGGATCTGCACTTTGCACAGAGCCCGACAGAAGGCTTGATCTCACGACTGCAACATTATGACGTGAACCAAAATCAAGAGACAGAAACAACCAGCTGAGCCACCCAGGCACCCCTAGCCTCAATTAAAATCTCCATGCAATCCAATATTCTGTCAAGTCCGTTTTTACTCCCAAGACCTTTCTCTCTTGTCCCCATCTCCAAACCCCAATCAGTGTTGGAGATTAAACACATTCACTGCTTTCTTGGGTTGGTTCCAAGAACTTCTAGAACCGCTGCCTTCTCCTTCCTCGATTTCTTGTTTGCTGTAGCTCCTTCTTAAGTAACTTTCTCAGACACGTTAACTAAGAGGTAAATTTTATGAAGGGTCCCAGTCTGGAAATGCCTTTAATTGACTTTTAAACTGACCCAATTGGGGTGCTTGGGGGGCTCAATCGGTGAAGCATCCGACTTGGGCTCAGGTCATAATCTCATGGCTCGTGAGTTCAAGCCCCACATCGAGCTCTGTGCTGACAGCTCAGAGCCTGGAACCCGCTTCAGATTCTGTGTCCTCTCTCACTCTGTCCCTTCCCCACTCACATCCCGTCTCTCTCTCTCTCTCTCAAGAGCAAATAGACATTTAAAAAAATGTTTAAACTGATGTGACAATTTTGCAGAGTATTGAATTCTGATGCTAATTTTCTCCTCTTTACAACCCTGAATGCTTTATCCCTTTCTCTGGTGAGAAGTCTGGTGAACAGTCAGGGTCCAATTCCTTTGCCAGTGCACTGTGTTTCCACCTTTCTGGAAGTGTTTCCACCTTTCTCTTTATTCTTGGTGTCTGAAACTCTGCATGGATGTGCTTAGCTGCCGTTCTTTTTTCAATTCATTGTGTTTGGCTCAGGGAGATTTATTTTCCTTCACTCCAGAAAGTTACTTTGTCTTTTTTCTTTAGTAATCTCCCTTCTGTTTCCTTTTTGATCGTATTTTCTAGAATGCATATTTGTTGGAAGTCGCACCTTCTGTTGAGTCCTGTTTTTTCTCAGAGTCACTTTGTTTTCTTATTCTTTCTAAATTTCCTCAAATCCATCTTTTAACTCTTCCCCTGAATTAAAAAAAAATTTTTTTTTTAATGTTTGTTTATTTTTGCGATGCAGAGTGTGAGCAGGAGAGGGGCAGAGAGAGAGAGAGAGAGGGAGATGCAGAATCCGAAGCAGGCTCCAGGTTCCGAGCTGTCAGCGCAGAGCCCTATACAGGGCTCGAACCCACAAACTGTAAGATCGTGACTTGAGCCGAAGTTGCACACTCAACCGACTGAGCCCCCGGGGCCCCTTCCCTTGAATTTATTATTTTTTTTTACATCAACCATAATAGTAATTTCCACAATCGCTTTTGTGTTCCCTGGTCCTCTTACTAGCATCGTCTTCTTGTTTTATGGATGAGACATCTCGAATCTTCCTAAGAAACTCATCGTGAAGGACTTCAGGCTTTCTTGTGCTCTCTGTGGCTGACGTTACCTCTTGTCTCAGGTTGTTGCTTTTATTGCCCTCTTGTTTACCTTCATCCAGGCTTCATCAAATGCCTTTTTGTCTTTTGTGTTTTATAAGAACTCAAAATCTGGTGAGAGCTCTGTAGGCAAGGGCAGAGCTGGCTCCCCAGAAGAACTCGTTTTGGGGATCAGTTGAGTTCTGTTGGCTACGTCCCATATGCCACAATGTGGCGTCTTCTCTCTGCCACTGTTGAATGCCCTGCTGGTGACACGGATGCCTGGTGGCATTGGACACTGAGCATGGGAGTGGAGATGGGGGTAGAGGATCAGTAAGCTTCCAATAAACCCTTTTGCTTTCAGCATCCTGCCCCATCACCCCTGACGTTTCCAAATCCCCAGTGCCTATCCCCTTTGGCGAACTGAGGCCCAGTCTGTACTGCAGCTTCCTGTGCCCTGCTCTGGAACTTTCCACTCCTCTACGAGTCCAGTCTGCCATAAATCTATTGGAATCCCTCCCCCTCCAATGACCCTCAACAATTGCTTAGTGTTAAGGATTTGACATCTTCAATTGTTGCATAATTATTTTAGAGCAGGCCTCGGGGAGAGGAGGAAGTAAGTGAGTGTGGCCAGTCTGCCATCATTAATCAGACAGCTCACCGCGTGCTTTTCAAACTGCTTGGCTGTATAAACTTGGCCCGTGAGTGGTTTCTCTTGTGACTTGGTAATGGCCAAAAAGGCAGCCCGACTCCATTATCATGGTGACCTGAGACATACTTCGAGGGCTGTGCCCCGTGTCCCTGTGTCTTTGTGAATGCAAATGTGTATTCCGGGGGTAACAGAAGCTATGCACGTCGATTCTAAATTCTTGATCAATTTAGAAAACCTTAAAACTCTGTCTTTTTACCAAACGTTCCTCGACTTCAGGATCATTGGAGAGAATCGATGAGGCTAAGCAAAAGTGAGCTGTACTCCTAAGACCTTAAAGCAAGGGGAGGGCTTAGATTGCAGACAGCCCAATCCCAAACCACAGACCTGCGGCCCCAGACACAGTGTGCTTCCCCCCAGGACCCCCGGGATCCTCCTGAACATTTTCAGGCCACCCCAGCCTTTGGTGCACTTTTGCTTTGAACAGCAGCCCTTGCCTTCGTTGATAGGCTCCTGCAACCCATTTTCCCCCACTACAAGGAGAGACAGAATTTATGCACCCCCTTCTATGTCTGTCACCACCCCCTCCCCTCCTTGGCTCTGCACTGAGGTGGGAAACTCAGCCTTCTCACTTGGGTCAGGACTGATCTGGACATCCACCCGGACTCTCCCCCAAGATCACCCCTGATTTCCCTTCCTTTCCTTCTCTGCCCAGCCTTCCTCAGTCCCTTACACCTTCCCCCCGGGGGCCTTCCTTAAAAATCACCGACACATGCATCTGTCTCAGCAGCACTAGAGGTGACTCGGGCTGGAATTACTGATCGACCTCATGCTCCTTCCTCAACAGCACCTTAATGAAAACCTGGCCAAACTCACAGCCAAGTTTGAGAGAGCCACGGCAGACAAGCTCAGATGTCAGCAAGAAGCCGAAGCGACCGCAGGCGTCATCTCCCTTGCAAATCGCCTGGTGAGTGTGAGCCCCAGCAGCCTGAGCCTCGATCATATTATCCGAGCTTGTCAGGCGCCACAGAGGTGCAAAATAGAGCACAGCTTAGCGATGCTCTGACTTGGGAGGGGGGGGGGGGGGGGCCCATATTTAAATGTGCTGGGATGCAGGGACCAGATCCTGAGAAGTGTGAACGCACACCCTGGTGTGCTCAAAAGAGTTTTCTGGGGCTCCCAGGTGGCTCAATAGGTTGAACGTCCAACTCTTGACTTCAGCTCAGGCCATGATCTCATGGTTCGTGGGCTCAAGTCCCACGTCAGGACTCGTCACAGCTTGAGATTCTCTGTCTCTCTCTCTCTCTCTCTCTCTCTCTCCCTCTGCATCTTTTCCCCACATGCTTTCTCTCTCTCTCTCTAAAATAATTTTTTTTAATTAAAAAAAAAAAAGTTTCCCTACAGAGACGGATCAGTAGGGAGGATGGGAGCCCTTGACCTATCAGACAGCCGGTGACACGTGACATGCTGATGTGCCTATACGCGCATCAGCTGGACGAAGGGGTCCAGGGCGAAGGTGGCTGCGTGACAGGCGAGCTCCGAAGCTCTTACCCGTGTAACATCTGATGATGAGGGTGTGACCAGGATGAGGAGCTGAGACAGAAGCAGGAGAGAAGGAGACCTCTCAACCCTGAGCATTTCTGAGCGTGACCTTGCCTATACGCACGTGTGCGCAGTCACACATCCGCACGCGGGCTCCAGCCTCCCTGCGAAACTAAATCCGAGGGTCACAGCAGGGTGCCTGTCTCGTGGGTGTCTAACAGACTGCCCCCCCAAAACTTAGCGCTTTAGCACAACAACCATTTCATTGCCTCTCACGGGTTTGCGGGCTGGGAATCTGGGTAGGTTTCAACCAGCAGGTCCTCTGCCCTGTGTGGTGCCTCCTGGGGCCACTCAGCACTCTTCAGCCAGCGGCTGGCTGGTTTGCCACATGCACCTTGGCAGGAGCCCCTGGAAGGTCTCTCCAGCAGGGTACTTAGACGTCTTACATGGAGACCCAGGGCTCCCAGAGACAGAAAGCAGAAGGTCCCGCTCTCTTAAGGCCTGGGACCGAAACCCAACACAACATCACTTCCGCTGCATTCTGTTGGTCACGGGTTCAGGGAGGGGGCACATAGACACCAACTCATTTTCTTTTTATCTTTATTCACTTTTGAGAGACAGAGACAGAGCGTGAGCAGGGGAGGAGCAGAGAGAGAGGGGGACACAGAATCTGAAGCAGGCTCCAGGCTCTGAGCCATCAGCACAGAGCCCGATGCGGGGCATGAACCCACGAACCGTGAGATCATGACCTGAGCCGGAGTCGGACGCTCAACTGACTGAGCCACCCAGGAGCCCCTGTAGACACCAACTCTTGATGAAAAGAGTGTCAGTATTCATTGCCTTTTTTAATCCCCTGTGGCTTATATGTTTCCTCATAAACCAGCTAAGATCCTGGAAGGCACCGTCCACAGGGTAAGATTTCTCTTCAATGGAGAGCCTTCACAGCACCTTTCTCTCCAAAGGTAGAACTGATACCTTTTTTATGTTTATTCCAGCCACCGTTTGTTTATAAAACAGAGCCAGGTTTTCTCGTTTAGGGAGAAGTGAGTCACAACCATGACTGAAATGAGCCATGGCTTCCGGGAAGAAAGGCATGCGTCTGTGCAGTTGTCTGTTTCACCTGCTGTTGAGTAGCTTTGGGACGATGGTTTTAACTGAACAATTCAGTGTAGAGACAGCTCTTCTGCAAGAGGTAGTCCAGATCTCCCAGCTGGCCTCCCATTCCGCTCTCTGTTTGGCTTCCAGAACTTAGCACGGCCTTCTCTGCCTGGCCCGGGAGTTTTCTGAATTGATCCTCTTGGGAGGCAGGCAGGCTGTACAGGCTCTGAAGCCAACCCTGTCTCTACCGACCTAGAGGTTCTGGAGACATCCTTCCACTTTCTGGTCTTTATCCGTGTCACCTAAAAACTGGGCATGGGAACGGTTGGGCTGGCACATCCTTAAGGTTTCTTCCAGCTGTGATGTTCTCTGTTGCCGTCTCTCAAGGAAGGAAAAAGGGTCAGTCACAACACAGACTCAGCTCTACCAGATGCCTACTGTAGAAAGGAGGCCCCTCCTCCCCAGAGAGGGGCTCCCCCTTGGAGAGGAGCACCAAACCAAAGCGGGCGGTCAGAGTCAGGACATGTACCGCCATCTTGGTGCCTCACGCACGGCCATGTTTCAGTACTTCTGACTCTGGGCCTTCATTACCATGTCTGTCTCCCCGCCCACTGTGAATTATTTATAGCGCATGGGATTGATTTTATTTCTTTTCCTCTCCCCAGCATTTGGAGAGGAGAGGGGGAGGTGCATGAGCTTCTAGTATGTTTGCATCCCAGGCACCGTGCTAAGTGATTAACCGACACGGTCGTATTTAATTTTCTCCAAGCCCGCGTTCACACCCTGTAATCCATCCACAGCCCCAATAACACATAGCACAGAACAGAACAGGGTCTTGTTCCCCAAAAATGTGCGACTCCCCATGGATCCACAGGGCCACCTGAACGATGTCCCGAGACTGCTGCCACCAGACGAGCACCGTGCGTCCCGTGTGACTCAGTCCCGGGGTCTGTATGCAGCCCGTGGGATGATGCGTCGTCTGTCCTCTCTGAAACCACAGGTGAGGGGACTGGCCTCAGAAAACGTGAGGTGGGCAGAGGCCGTGCAGAACTTCAGACAGCAGGAGAGCAAACTCTGCGGAGACGTGCTTCTGACCACGGCTTTCGTTTCGTACCTCGGCTTCTTCACGAAGGGATATCGGCAGAGCCTCATGGAGGGCACCTGGCGACCCTACCTAAGCCAGCTAAAGGTGTGTACAGCCTGGATTTCTCCTAAAGCTCTACAGCCAGGGAGCTCTCCTGGCAATAAAGTCTTCTAGCTCTTTCTTGCATGCTAGCACCTGAGCATCCCCTAGTGATCTCTGGGGTCTGGGAGGGAGACCTCTGCAGCCGTGTTCCCATACAGTGCCCTGCCTTGCCATCCACTGCCCTCTGGGCCACCTGAAGACAGTGCCTCTCCCCGGTAAAAAAATTTTTTTAACGTTTATTCATTTTTTGAGAGACAGAGCAGAGCATGAGCGGGGGAGGGGCAGAGAGAGAGGGAGTCACAGATTCCAAATTGGGCTCCAGGCTCCGAGCTGTCAACACAGAGCCCGACGCGGGGCTCGAACCCATGACCCGCGAGATCGTGACCTGAGCCGAAGTCGGACGCTTAACCGACTGAGCCACCCAGGCGCCCCGCATCTCTCCCCTTTAATTGGGCTCTCCGTGGGCACTCTGGTCCACTGCCCAGCAGGCTGTCTCAAAACTGCGAACCCCAAGAGTCTCCAAAAGCGCCCTGAGTTGCCTCCACTGCCCCTGCTCTTGAGCCAAATGGCAGTGTCACAGTGGGGCCCAAGGCTCCCTTCCCAGATCTGCAACGCACCTTGTCACTGGGTCCCAGGGCTGCACATTCTGTGCCCGTGGCTCATGGACCCCCTCGTGCAAACCCTTCTCCCTCCTTCTGTCATGTATAGTCGGCCTGTCCTCCTAGCTCCCAGCCCTTCCCCCTCTCCTGAGATGGTCAAGTGAGGAAATGCCGGTTCCTGACCGAAAGGGTTTCTAGAGCCGACAGTCAGGATAATTCCTAATCCTGTCCCCTTTCCCATGACTCGTAGTCCTCAATCCACAAATGTTCACCGAGGCGTCAGCCTGCGTGTCCTCCCTAAAGGCCAGGATGGCCGCAGGAAGGTCCCAGTCCGGACGGTGGAGGAGACTATGTTCACGAAAATTGGCTGCAGTAAGAGTCAGCCGGACAGTTCACCATGTACAGGAAGAGTTGAATTCCAGAAAGCATCTGTAGGTAGAGACCCAGAACATAAAACCCATATTGTCTAGTGGTGGTTGGTTGCAGAGATCAGCTCACAAAGGCTCATTCACTCGATGATTTGTGGTTTAAAAACTGTTACGGGGGCGCCTGGGTGGCGCAGTCGGTTAAGCGTCCGACTTCAGCCAGGTCACGATCTCGCGGTCCGTGAGTTCGAGCCCCGTGTCGGGCTCTGGGCTGATGGCTCGGAGCCTGGAGCCTGTTTCCGATTCTGTGTCTCCCTCTCTCTCTGCCCCTCCCCCGTTCATGCTCTGTCTCTCCCTGTCCCAAAAATAAAAAACGTTGAAAAAAAAATTTTTTTTTAATCAGTGTTCTTATTTCAGGGGCACCTGGGTGGCTCAGTCGGGTGAGTGGCCGGCATTGGCTCAGGTCACGATCTCATGGTTTGTGAGTTCGAGCCCCGCGTCGGGCTCTGGGCTGATGGCCCGGAGCCTGGAGCCTGCTTCCGATTCTGTGTCTCCTTCTCTCTCTGCCCCTCCCCCATTCATGCTCTGTCTCTCTCTGTCTCAAAAATAAATAAAAATGTTAAAAAAAAAATTTTTAAAACTGTTACGGAAATACATACACACGTACGTACTATTACGGTACTAGGAAATAAAAACGAAGCTGTCGTTGATCTCGAACACCATGGGAAAGGAAATTGTTTTGCTTTGTTTTTTTTTAGTTTATTTATTTTGTGTGAGAGAGAAACAGAGTGAGCAGGGGAGGGGCAGGGAGAAAGAGGAAGACAGAATCCCAAGCAGGCTCCTTGCTCCCGGGGCAGAGCCCGACCTGGGGTTCAATCCCATGAACCGTGAGATCATAACCTGAGCCAAAATCAAGAGTTGGACGCTTAACCATTTGAGCCCCCCAGGCGCCCCGAGAAAGGAAGTTAATTAAAAGGGCAGCCGTCAACTGAGTGAAAAAGATGGGGAGCCCAGTGGCAGCTTAACACGGATTTTTCTGGCTTGGTTTGGGGTTTGTAGGCACTTTTGTGCTATAGCCCCTTGGGCGGTCAGGAACTGGGGGGGGGGACCTCTGGGTTTCTTCTCACGAGAATGTTTCTCGTGCATGAAATGGTCTTGAAATACCTTTCTGATCCCCAGGGTAAGGCTGGTTTAGAACTGGCCGTCTGCAGCCCTCGTGAGTGAGATTAAAGGAAAGGGGAGGGATCGGACAGGGTTTCCTCAAGTAACTGGGAAGACGGACCACAGAGGACAGAGGCACAGAGAGGTTAAAGGGGCATGTGTGCGTGAACCTCACAAACATCCCACTAAATGAAAGCAGACACGAAAGGCCACCTGTCATAGGACTCCATTTATGTGAAGTATCCAGAGTAGGTAAATGCATAGAAAGTGGATCTGTGGTTGTTGGGAACCAGGGGGTAGAGGGGAGCAAGGGAGTGACGGGGCTTCCTTTTGGCGTGAAGAAAAACGTTTCGGAACCAGACAGAGTTGATGGTCACACAACATTGTGAAGGTACCAAATGCCATTGAATCGTCCACTCTAAGATGGTTCCTTTAAGGGGCACCTGGGTAGTTCAGTTGATTGAGCATCTGACTTCAGCTCAGGTCACAGTCTCACGGTTCATGGGTTCAAGCCTCACGTTGGGCTCTGGGTTGACAGCTCAGCGCCTGGAGCCTGCTTCAGATTGTGTCTCCCTCTCTCTCTGCCCCCTCCCGCTTTCACTCTATGTCTCTCTTTCTCTCTCAAAAAGAAAGAAAGATTAAAAAAAATTTTTTTTTATTTTTAAATTTTTTTTTAATGTTTATTTCTGAGACAGAGACAGAGCATGAGCGGGGGAGGGGCAAAGAGAGAGGGAGACACAGAATCCGAAGCAGGCTCCGGGCTCCGAGCCATCAGCACAGAGCCTGAGGCAAGGCTCGAACCCACAGACCGTGAGATCATGACCTGAGCCGAAGTCGGTCGCTCAACCGACTGAACCACCCAGGCGACCCCCCCAAAAAATTTTTTAATAAAATAAAAAAATAAATGAAATGGTTCGTTTAAGTTACGTGCATTTTACCCCAATTAACAAAAATGCGTGCGTGCCCCCAGTGGAAAATAGAACTAGCAGCAGAATTGAGCTGAGAGAGGTCAACAGAAAAAGGAAAGGAGGAGCCCTATAATCCAGCCTGGAAGTGGAATGTTCTGGGCACGGAGAAAAGTAGGCACCTCCAGCTGTGTGCAAGCCGGGCCTTCATCAGCAGGGGGTGACATACGAGACAGCAAGGGTGGCGTGGGCTGGCGGCGACAGGGGAAAGCCCACGAGGCCAGGGGCCCGCGTGAGAACGAGAGAGCAGCAGGAGAGTGACCCTGTTAGCACGGGCGAGGGCAGACAGGAGGCTGCTGCTAACGTACAGATCGCCGATGCTAGAAATTTGATTTGGGCGAATGTGCTAACGAACAAAGGGTCACCGAGCCTGGCTGCTGCTGTTCACCCACCGAGAGAAAAAAGGCCCTCGGGACGTTCAGAAAACCCGCTTCCAGACATAATCGCACAGCCAGGAAAGCACTTTTCAGGGGCGTTTGGATCTGGCTGAGAAGGCTTGCCTCTCCGTTCTGAGCGTGTGCCTCGTTTCTCCCTCGTCAGGTGCCCATCCCGGTCACCCCCGCCCTGGATCCCCTGAGGATGCTGACGGACGAGGCCGACGTGGCAGCCTGGCAGAACCAGGGCCTCCCCGCAGACCGCATGTCCGTGGAGAACGCCACCATCGTGGTCACCTGTGAGCGCTGGCCGCTCGTGGTTGACCCGCAGCTACAAGGCATGAGATGGATCAAGAACAAGTATGGCGAGAACCTCCGGGGCGCCCGGATTGGTCAGAAGGGGTAGGTGGCTGAGCACGTCACTTCTGACTTTCGCCACCTGTGCAGAGAGAAGACGGATGGAGTGAGCGGGTCGTAAGACGACCCCAGCGGGTTGTCTCTACCCTCCCGGTCCCTCCGCGAGCCTTCCTGTGTTTCTCTTCCCATTTTAGGACCCCTCTCCGTGGAAGATGCCGGGGCAGTTGTGCTTGTCATTAGGAATCGTGCGTGCCCGCCTCCTGACCCATCAGGGGCCCTTTCTCCCCGCCTTCCCACCCCCCTCCCATGGTGTTCACACTCATACCTCTCCTTGGACATGACCTCCCCATCACGCTCCACCATCAGGCAGTTCTGTGTTTTATAAAGCCTCCCTCACCTTGAGCCAAAAAGTGCCTGTCTTAGCCCATCCTGGAGCCCACTTGTCTACCCGTTGTTTCTACCTCCGGCCCAGCGCCCCCCAGAACAAACCCAAACACGACGTCTCCCGAAGAATGACCGGATGTAGCAGTTGGAAGCATGGTAGCCAAGTTAGCGGTGAACCCCCGAGAGCCCTTTCACCTGCCTCGTACAGCTTCACACATTCCCGATGGGGCCATTACTACACGAAGGGACATGAGTGTCTCTGAGAATGTCTGTCAGCACCCACCACACTTCACGACCCCAGACCTTGGCGTCTCCCACCCCATGGCTTCATTAACTGGGTTAGAACTTAGCTCTGTAGTCTCTGCTCTGGATTCTTGTCCGTGACGTTAGGATACGTGAGCGGGATAGGAGGGCGCCATGGGGAAGAGAAGGAGCGACAGAGATTATTTATTGCCAGTCCTGGTGTTAGGGACCTTATCTCAAATGCTTTCCTTAATCCGCACAACTGATAAGACTAGCACCACTGGTACCATTTCACATCTGAGGAAACTGAGGTTCACGGAAGCAAATCAATGTCCACAAGAATATACCATTTTGAAAGCAGCGGACGTTTGTACGCCCACGTTCATAGCACGGTGCACAATATTCAAAATGTAGAAGCGACCTTGGGGCGCTTGGATGGCTCAGTTGGCTGAGCATCCCACTTTGGCTCAGGTCATGATCTCACGGTCTGTGAGTTCGAGCCCCGCGTCGGGCTCTGTGCTGACAGCTCAGAGCCTGGAGCCTGCTTCGGATTCTGTGTCTCCCCCTCTCTCTCTGCTCCTCCCCCGCTCACGCTCTGTCTCTCAAAAATAAACATTAAAAAAAAAAGTAGAAGCCACCCAAGTATCCGTCGACACACGAACGGATGAACGAGACGTGTCGTATCCGTGCAGTGAAATATTAGCTTTAAAAAGGAAGGCAGTTCTGACACGAACCTTGAGGACATTACGCTGAGTGAAAAAAGCCACACACAAAAGGACCCAAAAGATCTATGTTGTAGATCTGTCGGGTGCTTTTCTAGATACCGTATGGTTCTACTTGTAGGAGGTCCCTCGAGTTATCAAATTCGCAAGAGGCAGAAAGCAGGATGGTGTTACCAAGGGCTGAAGGGAGGGGTGTGGGGAGTTGCTGGTTAAAGGGTACAGAGTCTCAGTTTTGCAAGGTGGAGAACTTCTGGAGACGGAAGGTGGTGACGGTAGCATGATAATGTGAACGTACTTGATGCACCGAGCTGGGAAATGGAAATGGAAACATCCATAACTGCTTTCTTTTTTCCTCTCGCTAACTTAGAACTCAATCAAAATAGGATTGTTGCAATGATGTTACATGAAAGGATTCCTGTGCATAAAAACACACTTTACTTTGGCAGAGCTTTGCTTGAAAACTTAATCAGAATTTAAAAGCGGCTGAGATGGGAGTTTGTGTTCCGTATATTTTAAGCACAATTTAAAAATAATTAAATTTAAGAAAAAAAAAAAAAACTGACGGAGGCAGCATTTGCTTCTCAGTTAGAAACCCAGCCCACAGCCACCAAGGTGAGGTGTGGTGGTCTGGTCACACGTCCCAGACGCGGTTGCCCAGAGGTCCAGATCAGCCGGTGTTGTTTAAATCGAACACGCAATGTTACAAAAATAGTTCAAGCAAATATTGACTGCCAGATGGATCCTTTCTTCTAGAGAGGATAAGAGGAGAAATGAATCCCAAGGTACGCCCGGGTGTATTTTAACCTGTGCCATCGATCAGACTAATGTCATCCTGGCCTCTCCCCGCACTTTGATCAAAATACTCCTTTCTAGGGGCGCCTGGGCGGCTCAGCTGGTTCAGTGCCCGACTCTTGCTTTCAGCTCGGCTCATGATCTCACAGTTCCGTGAGTTCGAGCCCCGAGTCAGCCTCTGTGCTGACAGTGCAGTGCCTGCTTGGGATTCTCTGTCTCTCCCTCTCTCTCTGCCCCTCCCCTATACGCGCTCTCTCTCTAAATAAAAACATAAATAAACATCAGAAAAATCCCTTTCTAATTGGCCAACAACTGCCTTTTAGATACAAGCGTTTTTCCTCTTTGCTCGTCCTATATCCCTAAGTACCAAAAACAGTGCCTGACACATAGTAGGGCTTCGGTAAACACGAGTGCAGTTAATTCTCTGTTTTCTGTCCAACCACTTTTCTGTTGGGTGCTTTTCTAGATCTGTTGTATATTATCTGAATGTAAATATTATATTACAATGTGTGTGAAGACTGTTGGGTATGGTCTCCCTTCATCACATGAGTGGATATTTGCTCTGGTGGGTCATTTGTCTTTGAGTCTTATTTATGGGGTTTGACACATGACAGCTGTGGGGTTTTGTATGAGGGCTTTTTTTTTTTCAAGTTCATTCATTTCTTGAGAGCAAGAGAGAGAGAGAGAGAGTGAGCAGGGGAGGGGCAGAGAGAGAGAGGGAGAACCGAGAATCCCAAGCAGGCTCCACACTGTCAGCGCAGAGCCCGATGTGAGGCTCGAACTCACAAACTGTGAGATCGTGACCCGAGCCAAAACCAGGAGTCAGACGCTTAGCCGGCTGAGCCACCCACGTGCCCCTGAGGGCCTCCTTTGTGTCCAGATGTGTCATCCATTTATTCTATATATCGTGATTAGAAAAGCCTTTTTCTCTCCAGAAATTATATAAATATTCACCTAGATTTTTTTAGGGCTTTTGTAGGTGTTTTCTTTTAACATCGAAATCCAATCACCTGAACTATATTTTAGGGTGCTATTTACCTAATACCTAATTTCTAATACCTAAAATTAGGTCTGTATCTTATATAGCACCATTTATTCAATTCTCCATCCTTTCCTTGATTAATTAGAGATGACATTTTACTCTGTATTAAATTATTTTATTACAGTCTTTATTCTTCTCCATTTATATAATACTATACCAGCCTTTAATTGCTCAGCTTTGTATTTAGCAACATTTATGGTGGCAACTCGCATTACAAAAGTCATGTATCATCACAGTAAAAAGGGGGGGGGATGTTACAAAATAAAAGAAATTAAATACCCTATAATTCATCATTCAGGGGAAAACCCTAACTTTGGGGGATATGATACCCTTTCAGATTCTTCCTATATATCCAGTTTGTTCGAGTTATAGAAACTATTTTAGAATTTGCTTCTTCCTCTATATCTATATTGTTAAAGTTACCTAAAATATTTTATTTTTTTAAATTTATTTTTGAGAGATAGAGGAAGGGAGGGAAGGAGAATATGAGTGGAGGAGGGGCAGTGAGAAAGGAGGTCAGAGGATCTGAAGCAGGCTCTGTGCTAAGAGCAGACAACCCGATGTGGGGCTTGAACTCATGAACCATGAGATCATGACCTGAAGTCAGATGCTTAACTGACTTAGCCACCCAGATGCCCCTAAAATATTTTAGTATTAGCTAATATGAATACCTCCTCTTTTTCTTGGTAGCTTTTATATTTTTAATCATCCTTATTTTCTTTTAGGTTACCTTTAAGATTTATTTATGATCAATCTCCGTAGTTTTATTATTATCTATTGTTTGAATTGGAATTACATCAAACTTATCCATATATTTAGAGATCAACCTTTTAACATGCTTATTAAACTCTACATAACACTGACACTTTTGAAATAATCTGGTTTAGGCAATTGTTAAATAAATTAAGGTATATAAGTAGAGCCTGACACCCAGTCATAGAAAATTATTTTAGAAGAGTATTTAAGGGGTGCCTGCGTGGCTCAGCCAGTTGGATGTCTGACTCTTGATTTCGGTTCAGGTCAAGATCTCACTGTTGATGGGATCAAGCCCCACATCGGGCTCTGTGCTGGCAACACAGAGCCTACTTGGGATTCTCTCTCTCCTTCTCTCTCTGTCTCTCCCCTGCTCATGCATGCTCTTTCTCTCAAAATAAATAAACACTTTTTTACATAATAATACAATTTTTAGGGTCACCTGGGTGGCTCATTGATGAAGCGTCCAACTTCAGCTCAGGTCATGATCTCACAGTTCATGAGTTCGAGCCCCGTGCCGGGCTCTGTGCTGACAGCTGAGATCCTGGAGCCTGCTTCCGATTCTGTGTCTCCCTGTCTCCCTGCCCCTCGCCTGCTCGCACTCTCTCTCTCAAATAAACGTTAAGAAAAACATTAACATAATAATAAAATTTTTCAAATATATATTTAATGAGATGGGGAAATGTTTCTGATACATTTTACGTACAGGAACCAAATGATAAATGTGCTGCGTGACCTCCAATAACAAAGAGAGGTGCAAATGTAAGTTACATTATGCATGAATAATATATAGCAAAATACAAATAATAAACTCGAGAATATAATATATCCAAATATACATGTTAAACACCAAAATGTAAATGACCAATGGAAGGGTTACATTCATTTCCATATTCTTTTTTGTATTTTACAACGTTTCCTTCTTTCTAAAACTTTATGAGATCGCATAAGTATCACTTTAAACAGAGAAGCACGTGACCGCCGAAGTCATCCCAGGTAGCCGCACCTCCACGTTGGCCACTGAGGCCACGGTCGTCCTGTTACGTTTCCTGTGGATCCGCACTTTGCCACCAGCTCACACTGCCCGACTTTCTCCCCAGGTATCTCCAAACCATAGAGCGTGCCCTGGAAGCTGGAGATGTGGTGCTAATTGAAAACCTGGAAGAATCCGTTGACCCTGTCCTGGGTCCCCTGCTCGGGAGAGAAGTCATCAAGAAAGGACGGTACGACTTAGCCATGTTGTTGATCCTGTGTGAGGAGCTGGATGGTAGCCCCAGGTAGAACCGTGAGCAGATCTGCTCTGCCCAGAACATGTTCTCCTTAACTCCCGTCAGGTGGCTCCGACGGGACCCAAGGGGAACACTCAGCTGCCCTTGACTCATAGAGACAGTTTCCTGGAATCACTAAGCTCCCATCCTGTCACGTCCTCCTCGACTTCCCCCTACATGTTAGCGGCGCACTGTTTTGGAAGAACTTTAGAAGGAAAGCGGTCAAAACGCAGACTGACTCGTAAGCATGAGTCATTTTTACCCAGGCCAGACTTCTGGGTTCTGAGAACTCGGTTCTCTGTCCATCTGTTGAGTCCCGGTGGCTTTGGGGGCTGGTAAGTGGTCAGGGGCTCAGCAAGCGTCTGGCAGGAGGAGGGACACGAGAGAGGTAATTATTATGATGGGTTGCTTCATTCCAGAGCTTCACCCACTGCCCAGGCCATAAATACCCTTTCCATGTCCTTAGTATGTGCTCACTTACCAAATTAACCACCTTAGCAGTTACTCTCCATCAGCCAAAAAAGAAAAAGGGCCCCATCGCTGCTAGCCCAGAAGGCACCTTTCTGCAAACTTAGGGTGCCCTTTCCTGCAAACACTTCACTGCCATCTGCTGGGCACGTTTCATAACGTACTCACCTCCCTGGGCAACTCCCTGGATGCCTCTCCCTGTGGTGGCACATGCAAAATCCAACATGGTGGCCGTGGGAGAAAGTCTCCCACCCTCCACCCCCGTCCCAAGCCACATTAAGGCAAATAAGAATCTTGGCGTTCAGGCTAGACCTGCTTGAGACGAATCCGAATGTGGCTATATTGTTTGCTATGATCTTACAAAAAAACAAACAAACAAAAACCGATCTGGAATTGTGTCCCCAAACCAAATCTCACAGGAAGGCACCCCACCTTCACATGACCCTTCGTGTTCCAGATTCATCAAAATCGGAGACAAAGAATGTGAATACAACCCCAGCTTCCGGCTCATCCTTCACACCAAGCTGGCCAATCCTCACTACCAGCCCGAGCTGCAGGCTCAGGCCACCCTGATCAACTTTACGGTGACCAGGGATGGCCTGGAGGACCAGCTGTTGGCCGCCGTGGTCAGCATGGAGAGGCCGGACCTGGAGCAGCTGAAGGTTCGTGGGGGATCCACCAAGGAAGGGAAGAAGAAAATGCTCTGTGACTGCTTCGGTGATGTAACAGCACAGAGCCTGCTTGGGATTCTTTCTCTCTCTCATTCTCTCTCTCTCTCTCTCTCTCTCTCTCTGCCTGCACTCACTCTCTCCAAATAAATACATAAACTTAAAAAGAAAAGAAACAGAAGATGAACAGAGTAGCTGCGGCTGGGGCCCCCAAAAGGAAGGAAGATTGTTCTTTCCAGGGCTCGAAAAGCAATAACCCCATGCAGTACAAGGGCAAAGAAATGACAGCTGCCTGAACTCACGCGTGGGGGGGGGGGGGCGCCCGAGTAGCGGCATAGTGCTTTAGGGTATGGAGTCTAATGATCAGGAAGGGAAGACGAGGGGAGATCAGCTTGGACCCCGGAGCCCCACTCCGACTTTAAAGAAGGCTCCAGCGATGAGCTTGTCTAAACTTGTCAGTTTCTGTTGATTTTTTTTTTTTTCCAAGTAAAGAGCATCTACAGGAGAGCCATTCATTTGGGGCAGTAAAGAGGTAACAGAGGTGACCTTCCAGAGAATGAGAACTTGACCCTACCCTCTGACTAGTCACACAAATAGTTTCCACTGAGGGAACACGCTATGTGCCAGCACTGTGTTTTCTCCTCTGAGAAGGGGCTGCGGCCAGCCAGCCAAGGTTATGGACACATTAAGAAGGTGCCTCAGGGGCACCTGGGTGGCTCGGCCAGTTGAGCGTCTGACTTCGGCTTGGGTCACGACCTCGCGGTTCGTGAGTTCGAGCCCCGCATCGTGCTCGCTGCTGTTGGTGCAGAGCCTGCTTCAGATCCTCTGTTGCCCTGTCTCTCTCTGCCCCTCCCCTGCCTGTGCTCCCTCAAAAACAAGTAAAAACGTTAAAAAAGAAGACCCCGTAGCATTTATCTGTTCAGACCTACGCCAGGCATAGGGTGTGCTGGGCTCCTGCACCTGACTCCCCCTTGCTCTATGTTTGCAGTCAGATCTCACCAAGCAGCAGAACGGGTTCAAAATCACCCTGAAAACACTAGAAGACAACCTGCTTTCTCGCCTCTCTTCAGCATCTGGGAACTTCCTGGGGGACACGGCCTTAGTGGAGAACCTGGAGACCACCAAGCAGACGGCCGCGGAAGTCGAGAAGAAGGTAAAACTGCCTGGCAGCGTTCCCAGGTAGCGTTGGTAGGTTCCCACATTCCTTCCAGAAAGTCAAGGCGGGCAGGATTCCTGAGATCACCACCTCACGCCGTGCATCAGGGAGTTCCCGCCTTCTGGGCAAGGAGTTTGACCCCTCAACTCCACAGACATTTGGCGAGCGTGACCTCTGTGCCTGCTGAGAGTTTGCACACTTGCCCCGAGGCTAAGGAATCGCACCCCTGTGCGCCGTGAGCGCTGGCTGGCTCACTGTCGCTCCCTGAGAAAGCCCGCCAGCCGGCAAAAGTCTCGCAAGTCTGATTGCAATGCGAGCAGCTTCCGTGGCTGCTCAGGAAGGCCAGCGCTCAAAAACGGCTATCATCCCGGGAAACTCTGGGGTCTCTAGCTTCCTTCCTTTGCCTCACATTGTCTGGAAGGCTTTTATTCCCCCCTGTGGGAGACGGGAGGACAGGATTTGAGGGCGTCCGAGCCCCTCGCCCTTCGCGGGGAGGCTGCTGAAACTATACAGGCTCTTTTTCATCCCCAGCCCTGCTCTTGGGTCAGAGGAGCAATGAAGATACTGGTTCTGAGCAGGATAAATGAGTCTGTAACAGGACACCTCTGAGGGAAGGCACTGTTGGTCAGATTAATTGGGATTTCTCCACATATCAAAGCCGTTGTTGTGGGTCGGGACAGCGCAGGAAAAATGAGAGGTGATGACGGGTGGTGTAGGTAGACCAGCTCATGCCCACACTGGGGTAAGAGACAAATGAAGTTGGAATGGGAGCCTGAGAGCAGGAAGGTCCAGGTTCACATTGTCTCTGTGGCCGCTGCTTGGCCACCAGGTTCCACTCCTGGTTCTCTGTGGCCTCCATATCTCTAGAAAAGGGAGTGCAGAATTTGTATAGTAATTGTGTACAAGTCCCCCTGTCTTGGGTAGGAGAGATGGGGCCTGGGGGGACAGAACCCAACTCACACATGGGGATATATGGGTAAAGTTTTAGCCCAGGAAACATCTCAGATTCCAGGAATAAACACCTAGATAGGCATTGATGCCAGTAACTGAAAGATGAGAGCAGAAATGGATCTGGGGATGAGGAGACATTATTAGTTTCGTTTGTGTTGCGTTGAGTTTGGAACGCCTTTGGGCCATTCACATAGGTCCCTTCCTTGAGTTTCCAGATAAATGACCTTGGTTGGTGCTAAGGTACTAAGAGTCATCAACAAGTAGTTGATCATTGAAACTGAGAGCAGAGGAAATCATGGGGGAGATGTGTGTGCAGTGAGGAGACTGAAGAATAGAGCGTTGAGAAGAATCCTGAGACGTTTTAGGAGAAATACAGAACGTGTCGACTGTGGAATAGAGCAGACAGATGGGAAGAAAAGCAGGAAAATAAGGGATTGTGAAAGAAAGCATCTCAAGAGGGTGTGCCGGTGACGTTGAATGATGCTGATGACTCAAACAAGGTATGGCTGGGATGTGGCCACTGAACTTTGCAGAAAGGAGTCATCGGTGATCTTGGGGAGAATGGTTTCCGTGGTGTCGTGGAAGCAGAAGTCAGACTGAATTAGAATGAGAGCAAATGGGATCAGAAAAAGGGAAAGAGACTATAAGCTACCCTTGAAAGAAGGCAAACTGTGAAATGGCAGAGAGAGAAAGGATTGCGACTTAAAGGAGACATGGGTCCCGTGAGACGGGAAAGATTGGGTGTGGTAAGATCTTCACCGGAGGTGGGAGGATGCCTGGTTTGTAAAGTAAAAGCCACAGTTGATAAGAGAAGGTGAATTTACAGGAAAAAGAAGGAACAATTAATGTAACGGGGTACATGAGAAAGTCAGAGGAAATCTAATTCAGGTCACAGATGATGAGCTTGTCTTTGGAAAGATGGAGAGCTAGTTCCAAAGTGATAGGGGTTGGGGGCAAGCATGAGTTTAGAAATGAGATCCATGGTCCATGGATTCATCCAGGCAACTGAGGTAAGGAGACAGAAACTTCAAGGAATCAGAGGAGAGGCAGAAATTAAGGAAATTCCTTCCTGATGGTCTCTCTATAGACGGTGAAACATGAGTCACATTCACCTGCGGAGAGTGAAGGAGTGGTAGTGAGGCAGGCGGTTTGGGGAGAGGAGTGAAGGTTTACTGAAATAAGAGTAAAAGTTAATTCAGGAAATATAATTAGTGGACAGCATTAGGAACCCAGGTGAGCTTGAAAAGGATGGATCTGTGATAACACCATTCTGAGTAGCTGTTTTTGTTCAGTCCACCCCCTTCCGAAAAGCTTTGTCTTTAGCTACTGAATTTAACTGATTTACGTTTATTAACATTATCAATAGAGTGAATTTCTTTCTACTGCCTTCATTTGTATTTTCTATTAAACATGCTTATTTGTTTTTTTCTCCCATCTTGATTTTTCATCATTCTCATCTTTATCCTTTCCTGATTTTAAAGTTAACTTACGGGGCGCCTGGGTGGCGCAGTCGGTTGAGCGTCCGACTTCAGCCAGGTCACGATCTCGCGGTCCGTGAGTTCGAGCCCCGCGTCAGGCTCTGGGCTGATGGCTCAGAGCCTGGAGCCTGTTTCCGGTTCTGTGTCTCCCTCTCTCTCTGCCCCTCCCCCGTTCATGCTCTGTCTCTCTCTGTCCCAAAAATAAATAAACATTGAAAAAAAATTTTTTTTAAAAATAAAGTTAATTTACTTTGGGGATACCTGGGTGGTTCAGTCACTTCAGTAGAGATCTGACTCTTGATCTCGGCTCAGGTCATGATCTCACATTTCATGAGATTGAGCCCCATGTGGGGCTCTGCACTGTCCATATGGAGCCTGCTTGGGATTCTCTCTCACTATCTGACCCCCCCCCCCTCATGTGCACATACTCTCTCTTGCTTGCGCTCTCTCTCTCTCTCAAACTTAAAAAGAAAGTTAATTTATTTTATTGATTAACCTTGTTTCATTTATATATGGAAATTATATTTCATTTTATATAACTTAACAATATATATACTGATTTAACAAAGTCTAATATAAAGGGCTATATGGCCTCTCCCAAGACAATATAAGGACTTTAGAATACTTTGATCATCCTTTTCCATCTTCTGTTACTGTTTTATAATATTTTAGTTCCACCTTCTACTTCCTTTTCCTATGGTGGTCATTTTTTTTTTAACATTTCTTTTCTTTTTTTTTTTTTTTAACATTTATTTTCAAGAGACAGAGAGAGACACAGTGTGAGTGGGGGAGGGACAGAGAGAGAGAGGGAGACACAGAATCGGAAGCAGGCTCCAGGCTCCAGGCTCCAAGCCATCAGTGCAGAGCCCCATACAGGGCTCGAACCCACAAACCGCGAGATCGTGACCTAAGCCGAAGTCGGACGCTCAGCAGACAGAGCCCCCCGGGCGCCCCTATGGTGGTCATTTTTAGAGCCCTTGTTATTTAGATTAACCACATATTTAAGAAATTCTCAGATCTCATTTCCCCCTTTTAATGTGATCTTCTAATTGAGGCAAATAATTATTTCTTCAAAGGTCTGTGGACAGTAAACTTTCTTTGACATTGACTGCTTCTTCTAAAAGCTCTGGTCTTTCACCGGATCGGAAAATTCTCAACCGTTACGCCTCCAAGTGTTGCTTCTCCCTCGTTCTCTCTGTCCTGTATCTCTGTTAAATGTATTTTGAATCTTCTCTTTCTGTCTGCCAAGTCTCACAACCTCATACATATTTTTCATCTTTTTCTTTTCTCTCTGAGCTACCTTTGTTCCAATTTCCTCAGATCTGTCTTCTAGTTTTCATCTTCTCCTTCCAGCACTGGTCCATTATTTAACCTGTGCACTGGGTTTTTCATTTAAATAACTGAATTACTTTAAAAAGTCCTAGTGAGTTCATTTTTTTTTCTAGGTAATAGCTGCTCCTCTTTCTAATGTCCCGATTTTATGTTTTTCTTCAGCTCTACTGCTTTTAAACCGAAATAGTTAATGGTGAGTTATAGATTGTTCAGGGATCTTCAGCTCTTGGGATGCTAATCCTCCTGGGAATTTGGGGGGAGTAGAGTCTCCTTTTCCCCCTTGGTAACACTTCCTTCTGAAGTTCCTAATTGTTTATTGCAAGCTGATCTTTGAAAAGGATCGTTGTGGTTTGTTTTTTTTTTCCTGTGAGAGTCTCAGAAATTCTCATTAGTTTCACTCGTCTGGAGCATAAGGCAGGTCATACTGAGGCTTGTATTTAGTGGCCTCTTCTTTCAGACTCCCTCTCTGACACTTGGGTCTGTTTCCTCATTTTTACCTGTGATAAGAAATTTTCTGATAATAAACTATTCCATTGAAAGAGATCCTCTTTCAACCTAGATGGATCTAGAGACTTGAATGCTAAGGGAAATGATCAGAGACAGATAGATACCCTATGATCGCACTCATATGTGGCGTTTTAAAAAATGAAACAAAAAAGAGAGACAAGCCAAGAAACAGCCTCTTGACTGTAGAGAACAGACTGATGGTCACCAGAGGGGAGGTGGGGGTGGGGGTGGGGGCAGTAGGTGATGGGGCTGACATCACACTTATCTTGATGAGCACCGGGTGATGTATGGAAGGGTTGAGTCGCTGTATTGTACACCTGAAACTAATATCATGCTCTGTGTTAACTATACTGGAATTAAGGGTTTTTTTTACTAAAAGGAAAGATCCTCTTTGTGAATTTACATATGAACTCTTTCATAAAAATTAAAACAAAATTCAATGTATGCTGTTTTCACTGGACTTTCACTGCCTGTAATACTGGTTTATTTTCAAGTAATATATGCATGTGTGTGTGTGTGTGTGTATGTGTGTGTATTCTCATGCTTGTGAAAGATCACCTCCTTTCTCACTGATGCTCTATTAAAAAAAAAAAAAAAAAAAAAAGCACACACAGCAGGGGCGCCTGGGTGGCTCAGTCAGTTGAGCATCCAACTTTGGCTCAGGTCATGATCTCATGCATGGTTCATGGGTTCAAACCCCGCCTCAGGCTCTACGTGGACAGCTCAGAGCCTGGAGCCTGCTTCAGATTCTGTGTCTCCCTCTCTCTCTGCCCACCCCCACTTCAAAAATGAATAAACATTAAAAAAAAAAACCACAGCAGCTTCCTAACATTCTAGCTGCTATCCCCACCCACGCCCACCTGCCCCACACACAGACACGGTGTGTGTGGACACAGAGAGGCCAGGCTGATGGGTTGGTTGAATAGCGGTTGAACGGACCGCTATTTCTTTCCCTACCAGGTCCAGGAGGCCAGGGTGACGGAAGTGAAAATCAACGAGGCCCGCGAACACTACCGGCCCGCAGCCACCCGGGCCTCCCTGCTCTACTTCATCATGAATGACCTCAGCAAGATCCACCCGATGTACCAGTTTTCTCTCAAGGTGACCTACACCTGTGGGGTTTTGCATAAACCTGGTCATACAGCCACCCAGCTGTCCGGGAGGGCTTACCCGTGGGCTCCATTGGCTACGGCCGGTCTATCAGATCAAATCCGGGGGACCCGTGATGGTACCTTCAGACCCACCTTACAGTCCTCATCTCTTTAACTGGGTCACTCAGGACTCACGGGTTATTCCCGCAGGATCAGGAGCTGTCCCAGCCTCACTCACTCAGGCGACATGGTGGGTGCTAAGCTTACTGAAGGCAAGGAAGAGAACCAAGAAATATCAGAAGTGGCCCCTGCCCCCCAAAAGAGCTTAAAGTACGATAGGGACGATCACAGGTGTGCATGTCTTTCATAGGGGTTAAAGACCAAGCAATGGCGTCAGTCCAGCCTTCAATTAGTTTCCTCGCTACCCTAAGTTCCTCCAGGCGACTGCTTTATGGTTGCCGAAATATTTCTAACACCAAAGGTGTTAGCACATTGTAAGTGCTGACTGCTCTTAACTTACTTATGAAAAAATAAAGCCCTATAAATTTTAAGTGAATCGATGAAAGTCTATCTTTCCCCCGTAGGGTATGCACAGTTGAAGACACATTAGGGATAGTGCAGCATTTCTGAACAACCTCTGTGGTTCGACCTAACAGACAGAGGATGGACACACACACACACACACACACACACACACACACTTACACAGTCAGAGCTTACCCCTCATTCTGCGAAGGGGAACACTTGATGGAAGTCAAGGTGTGGGGACGGAGGTGAGCAGGTGAGAAATCAGGAGGTCTCAAGTCCCTGGGGCTCATTCAATGGTGGATGGCATTGTACCGTTTCCGGGTCCCCTTCCCTCAACTCAGAGTCTCTGCAGACGAAAGGAATTGTGTTTATATTTTATGCGCTTAAAAGCAATCTAATGCTTGGCCTCGTATTCAGGTCAAAGCAAACGATGAAAGAATTACGAGATGTTTTAAGACAGCGTAAGAGTTAGCATGGTAAGCAGAATAGCTATAAGAGGGCTCCCCAGTTCTGAGAGTGGCTGAAAAGAAATCAAATGAAACCCAAGAAAAGATGTGTTCGGAAACCTGGGGAAAGTTGTTTTGCAGCAATAACACCCTGATCGAGGCTTGTGTTGTCATAGAAGCACTGTTTTTTTTGGGGGGGGAGGCATTTGGCCCCCATACTGTTATTAAGACTTGCCAACCAGCTTGATCATCGAAAGCAGATTTAAATGCTTAATGATAAGAAGGTGCAGGGTCTTCAGAGGGACCGAAACAACAGTAGACTTAGAAACCTTGTGCGATGGGAAGAAAAACCAATCCCTGGGGTCTCCACGATCTTGGCTTTTGTCTGAGGTTGGGTTTTACGGTCGCTGTTCCAGCCACAGATCCCTGTTTCCCAAATGGCTCTGAGCAGGAATATGTCCAAATGTGTCTCTTGGCTTTTACACACCCAGACAGTCTTTAAGAGCCAGTTTTGAAAAAGCCGGGGAGCTCGTACCAAGGTTAAGATGGAACGGGGGTGCATTGTCATTTTTCTCCAGAACTCAGCCAAAGGCTAAGAGAGGGATAATGAGGCTTCACTGGCCGAGGGCCAGGGGGTCCTGAGAAAGATAAGACCACTGGCTGGAAGGCCTATGTCCCTCTGTTTTGTGTCTTCTGTGCAGGGGGACAGCTGGAGGAGGGACCTTGCTCAGAGAGGTGGGGAAGGGAAGAATCAGACAGAAGCAAAGAGCACAGAGCTCTGATCTCAAACCGAAGGCCTGTTGACCTATTTTCAGAGGGCTTTTCACCCTCCTTGGTGGTGAAGATCCAAGATTCGGGACAACCACTAATCCAGATGCCTGGCTTCCCGTGAAAGTGTGTTGGATTTCAGTACTGAGCCCCCATTCCTTCCACACAGTAGAAGTTGGCTGGAGCTAAGGGGATGGGTGGCTCCTCCAGGATCAGCTTCTGCCTCCCTCTGGCCACGTTCCTTCCCCTCGTCCCCGTTTGGTCTTACACACCTGGCCCCTGAGGCATCTGAGTTTGAGACCCTCGGTCTGGAGCATCTCTCATGCTTTGCCCAAGCTCTTTAGGGCACTAGTGGGACACAGTCATTCATTACAGATCTTTTGAATGCCTATCATACGTGAAGAGCTGGGCTGGATTCTGGGTTGCTAAGGACTGACTTCCATCCTCAGTGTGCCCACAATCTGGTAGAAAGGACAAGATGAAACATATATTTTTTAACTTTTAAATGTTTTTATTTACTTTTGAGAGAGAGAGAGACAGGGTGCAAGTGGGGGAGGGGCAGAGACAGGGAGATGCAGAATCCAAAGCAGTCTCCAGGCTCCGAGCTGTCAGCAAAACCCCGACATGGGGCTCAAACTCACAGACCATGAGATCATGACCTGAGCCGAAGTCGGACGCTTAACTGACTGAGCCACCCAGGGACCCCCAAGGTGAAGCCTATCTAAGGCGCCAGGCCATGGACAGGGGCCCTAGAAGAGTGACAGGGTGGTTAGAGCCAGCCATGGGACCGCGTGCGCAACAGATGACCTCCAGGAGGGGGTCGTACAAGCAGAGGTCAGCCCGGCGCTGGCTTCCTCCCGGAAGTCAGGAGGACGGGAGTCCCCTTTAGGATGGAACGGAGAAGGGAGCCCAAATGAGCTGAATGCAAAGAAAATGCTAAGCGTACCTAGGTCTTTGCACTTTCTTTCGTTCTTTTTTCTGACTCGTGAACCACCTTGTCTAAGCTTAGTAGCTGGAGATTCTGTACTGATCACTATCATTTCCATAAAGATAGTTTTAGGGAGAAGAAGGCACAGTAACGCCCTGGGGAAAGCTGTACACTCAGTCTCTGCAGACTCACTCGCCAGTATAAGTTTTCCAGATTTCTCTGTGTGGACCTGGGGGACGTGACCCACCTCCACTGAGCTAATCTCCAGCCTACCAGGTGTGGGCACACATCACCGTGGATTGGGTTGAAGGCAGTCAGAAGATTTTGCTAGGATCATCAAAGCTGAATGAAGAAGGGAGTCTGCAAAGGTTTCCTTAACAAGAAACACCATGGAACTTTGAAAAATAGGAGGTCCTATCCCCCCCCCCCCATTTTGCAACTGAGGAAATATCGAGATGCAAATTTTATATGGTTTCCACTGAGGTTTAAATACCTGGTGTTGGAAAGACCCAAGACTCCTTTTTTTTTCTTCTTTTTTTTTGAAGCCACCAAAGGGCAATAGACTAAAGACGAATTGGAAAGGCCTGATTATATCTTGATTTTTATTTGCTTTAATGACTCATTCTATGCATATCACAAAGTGCAGCATTCCTAATGATTTGTATAAATGCTGTCTATGTTTAAACCACGAAAAATTGATTCATACCATTTGTATTTCATAAGAGACCCTTAATGTTCCGAAGACGTAGCCAAAGCAGGCCTTGCACCCTGCTCTCTGATTCAGGAAGGGTCTATGAAGAAATAAAGGGTGTGTAAAAGGATTCTCCAAATGACTGCAGAGTTAGTAGGAAGAAAAACAGCACAAGAGATTCTGATCATTACCAAAAGGAAAAGTAATTAATTTTAAAATATTCTGAGTACCTGTTATGTACAAGAGTCTCTTTAAGACAACAGATTTGTCCAACCCATTTTGGCTCCACCATCAGGAATTTTGGAATTTCCTGGATAGTATCACTAATCCCAGCTGGTTATTGTTGACCGTGCTTACCCATTTGTGGGGGTGGTTATCCAACAGAACTTACTGGATCTAATTTAATTATTTTGGTTCCTGGATAGTCACTTTTCACCGGTCAGAACTGTAGGCTCTTGTGTGTATGCCTCATAGCTTTGCCCACATCGTGGCAACGTAGCAATTTACTAAGAAAAGAGCAAACTAAGAAAAGAGCTAATAGAATGTTGTCTTGTTGCCACGGTCCCTTCTTTTAAAAAAAAAAAAAATTTTTAACGTTTATTTATTTTTGAGACAGAGAGAGACAGAGCATGAACGGGGGAGGGGCAGAGAGAGAGAGGGAGACACAGAATCGGAAGCAGGCTCCAGGCTCCGAGCCGTCAGCACGGAGCCCGACGCGGGGCTCGAACTCACGGACCGCGAGATCGTGACCTGAGCCGAAGTCGGACGCTTAACCGACGGAGCCACCCAGGCGCCCCAACCACAGTCCCTTCTTGGCAGGATATGCTGGGAAAACATTTCTGAGGCTGACAAATTATAGTATTCTTCACAGGTGAGTCTACTAGTCACATATACAGAGAGCTGTGTAAATTACCAGTGTCCAACCTCCTGCCCCCAGGCCTTCAGCATCGTCTTCCAGAAGGCTGTGGAGAAGGCCGCTCCGGACGAGAGCCTCAAGGCGCGTGTGACCAATCTGATAGACAGCATCACCTTCTCCGTATACCAGTACACCACACGTGGGCTCTTCGAGTGTGATAAGCTGACCTACCTTGCCCAGCTTACCTTTCAGGTAAAAGTAGAATCAAGAAGTTTCCAGAAAACACGCCATTTTCCGGTGCCCAACCAGCAGGTGTAAAGAAAGTTTGCTCTTTTCACTTTGCTTCCCATAGAACGTGAAGACTATTAGGCTCTACGCAGAGGCATCGGACAAGAAGGTCCAATATGGCGCGTGCATGCTGCCTCACCATTGTCCCCCTCATGGCAAACATGCCTAATCAACCGTTGTACTCGTTTACCTTGGATGACCTAGGATCCTCCTCAACACTGTCCTCCAGAGGCCACTAGCCATCAACCCAAGCTGGCACTAAAAATGGAACTCAACGGCCATACCAAAAACTAGATACTTTTTGAGATGCTAGAAGAAATGTAGAGCATCCCTCATTATTTATTTACCTCTAGGGATGTGAGTTTCATGCCCCAACCTTCCCTCAGAATAAGAAATTGCAAATGTTGGGGCACCTGGGTGGCTCGGTTGGTTAAGCGTCCGACTTCGGCTCAGGTCATGATCTCACGGTCCGTGAGTTCGAGCCCCGCATCGGGCTCTGTGCTGACAGCTCAGAGCCTGGAGCCTGCTTCACATTCTGTGTCTCCCTCTCTCTCTGCCCCTTCCCTGCTCATGCTCTGTCTCTCTCTGTCTCAAAAATAAATAAACATTAAAAAAAAATTTTTTTTTAAATTGCAAATGTCTTTCCATAGCCATAGCAGATTTGGCCTTGAAAAGGTCCTTAAGAACTCTGATTCTCAAGGGCTTGGGGGGCATCAGGGACTTCCAGTGTTAATAAGAAAACCTTGTCTTCCACTTACTCTCAACATCAAAAAGCCACGAGAATTTATTTCCTCGTACTTATCCCTCTAATCATTTAGGTTTGGGAATTTTTTCTGTAAGTTAACTGGGAACACGCTTAGATTATCTCGAAGGCCTCTTCCAATTCTGCACACCAGATATGCTATGATGACTTTTCGGCTGACTCTATTTGCATGTTCCAAAGCCTGAATCCACGGGGGAGTGTTAGTGTGGCTCGTCCCTGTCACCCTCTGTATTCCCTCTCCAGCCCAGAAGCATGTGGTGTCATCAGAAGAACTTGGGGCACCTGGCTGTCTCAGTCAGTGGAATGTGTGACTCTTGATCTTGGGGTCATGAGTTTGAGCCCCACATTGGGTGTAGAGATTACTTCAAAAACTGAAAGGGGCACCTGGGTGGCTCAGTCAGTTGAGCGTCCAACTCTTGATTTCGGCTCAGGTCATTATCTCACGGTCATAAGATCAAGTCCTGCGTCGGGCTCTGTGCTGACAGCATGGAGCCTGCTCGGGATTCTCTCTCTTCCTCTCTCTCTCTGCCTCTCCCCTGCTCACAGTCGCTCTCTTGCTCTCTCTCTCTCTCAAAACAAAAAAAAAAACGAAGGAGGAGGAGAAGAATAAAAAGGTTTCATCAAATTAATCCCATTGCCCTGCTTGCTGGTCACTCCCCTATTCTGGAACCCCTTTAGCATTATTGATTCATTCGTGCATTTCTCTCTTGCATGTGTCCGTATGTGACTTTGACATCCTCCTCAGGCATGTCACTTATATGTGTCATCTTCTCAGATCGCAGAGATGTGCTCCATGGCATTTAGAACTGATAGAACGCTTGCTAATCAAGGTAGCTGGTCACTCACTGTGTGCATTTATGTCACCCTGATGTTGGTGGGTGAACATACACATACCCAGAAGTGATTTGCGCAGATAACCCACTTTCTTTCACTCCGCCCTCTTGAACGTTTATTTTTGTTTATTTTGAGAGAGCGAGCAGGGGAGGGAAAGACAGGGAGCGAGAGAATCCCCAGCAGGCTTCACGCTGCCCGCACAGAGCCCCATGCGGGACTCAAACCCACAAACTGTGAGATCATGACCTGAGCCGAGTTAAAGAGTCAGATGCTTAATGGACTGACCCACCACCCACCCCAGGTGCCCCACACTCCACCCTCTTTAAAACAACCAACACTGATGAGCACGCTCTAGGGTTCAAAGCAGCGATGATTACACCGAGTGCGAACCCCCAGATCTCCAGAACCCTATGACCAGCACCCCTAAAGCATCGTGGTATCGTTCTTCCGCCTTGCAGATCCTCCTCACGAGCGGGGAAGTGAGTGTGACCACGCTGGATTTCCTGCTTCGATCTCCGGGGCAGACGGGCGTCACCAGTCCCGTGGGCTTCCTCTCCCATCAGGCCTGGGGTGGCATAAAGGTCAGTAGAAAAGACCCCTTGAAAAAAGTCAAGTTCTCAGCTCTTGGAGTTTCTCCCCTGACACTTGTCCCCATGAAGTAGGCGCGGCGCTCCTTGGGGGTTAAACACGGGTGCGTGCCTTCACCTGGCCCCCCACAGCAGAGCTCACCTTTCCCGGGCCTGCTGGGAAGGCTGTCAGTGGAACAGGTGCATGCTGGTTCAGGGCTCTCCCCTCAGGATGTGGGGCGACAGGAAGATCCGGGAGCTTCCCTGCCTCAGCCGAGCTGCCTTTCACCTGCCGGCACTGAGGGCTGGACCACGGGCTCCTCCGTGGGGACCTCAGGCCGTGTGGGGGTGCTCCAACAGGGCTCCCAGGAACCAGACACCTGCCAGGGCTCTGTTCAGGCACATCCATGCGGGTCCTAACTCAGTGGCGGATGCATCCCAGGCTGGGATTTCTACCGGTTCATAATAGCTCACATTTATTGAGCACCTGAGAAATGCATTTTATTCTCACGTGCACCCAGGACATCGATGTTCTTTATTCACATTTAACGCAAAGCATGTTTTCTTTCCATGTAACGCAACTGAGTGTGGTTGGGATTCTATGAACGTTATTCCACGAAAAGATCACAAAGTATAAGCTCCTTGCTGTAGGGACCGTGCCTGCATTGATGTGACACGATGGGTGTGCGATATGATGCCGAGCAGTGACGTTGACTGAGCATTCCCCCCCATGCAGGGTCCGGGCCACCATCCACGTAGGCAGCCGTCGGGTCCACACCTGGATGCTTACACACAGCAGGTGCTGGTGCTTTGGGGATACTGGCATCTACACGAAATTAATCCTCTTTGTGATTATCCATGTTTGTTGCATGTTATACACAGTTCATAGAACAAAGGACTCTCAAGTGACGGGAGTGGTTCTCTTGCTCTTTACATTTTTTATTAAGTTTTTTAAAATGTTGAGATGATACAAATTCACATGCAATTATAAGAAATAATAGAAATATCCTTCATACCCTGCATCCCTCCGTGGTAACATCTTACATTCCTATCTTGGAACATACACCCAGGAAATTTCCATTGATTACAATCCACTAATCTGAGTCTGATCTCACTAATTTTTTATGCGTGTGTGTGTGTGTGTGTGTGTGTGTGTGTGTGTGTGTGTGTTTCACATGTGAAGATTCACCCCGGTCAAGGTACCACCAAGGTTCCACCACCCCGGTCAAGGTACAGAAAATTCCATCACTGTAGGGACCCCTATGCTGCCCTTTATGACCACAACAACCTGATCCCTCCCCTAGTGCCTCACGCACGGCAACCATTAATCTGTTCTCCACTTGTACAATTTTGTCCTCCCAAGGACGTTATGTAAATGGAATCCTACAGTATGTAACCTTGGCGGACTGGCTTGTTCACGGAGCATAATTCCCCTGAGAGCCATCCAAGTGGATTCATTTTATAACAGAAGCCCAGAACTTAATATTTATACATACGCTCTCCTTTTCGAAGGAACCGTCTTAGGAAATTCGAGGCTAATTTCACTCATGCTGCCTTTCCCCCAAAAATTTTTCTAACTTCTTTTTCAGAGTCCACAGGTATTCTTTGAATCATCTTTAGGGCTGTATCTAAATGAGGATTCATCAAACTTTTTCTGTACAGGGTCACACAGTAAATATTTATGGTTTGAGGGCCAGACTCAGTCACTACTGAGTGAGTCACGACTCAGCTCTGCCAAAGTCACACGCGATGTGTAAATAAGCGGAAATGGCTGAGTGCCAATAAAACTTTATTTACAAAGACAGGCGGTGGGCCAGATTGGGTCTGCAAGCTATAGTCTGCTGATCCCTGACCTAAACAGCAAAGGTGTGAGTGATTTTCATTTATTAACTGCATTTGTCATTCTGGACCCTGTCTGGCAGATAAGAAGAGGAATAATATACTGGAAAAGGAGTAATGAAGAACTCCATTCACAACAATAACCAAAATAACAAAGTTCCAAGATTTCTAAGAAAAATCATAATAAATGCAGAGATTTGTGGAGAAAAACCTAGGGTAGCCAAAATACCATTTGCATAGGTAGTTATTATAAAAACTATTCATGGGGCGCCTGGGTGGCGCAGTCGGTTAAGCGTCCGACTTCAGCCAGGTCACGATCTCGCGGTCCGTGAGTTCGAGCCCCGCGTCGGGCTCTGGGCTGATGGCTCGGAGCCTGGAGCCTGTTTCCGATTCTGTGTCTCCCTCTCTCTCTGCCCCTCCCCCGTTCATGCTCTGTCTCTCTCTGTCCCAAAATAAATAAACGTTTGAAAAAAAAAAAATTTAAAAACTATTCATGAAATATTTTTTGTTTTTCTATCAAGTCATTGAATTCTGGTGTGTAGTTTTTACACGTACAGCTCATTCTTTTTTTTTTTTAATCTTTATTTTTGAGAGAGAGAAAGAGAGAAAAAGAGAGCATGAGCAGGGGAGGGACAGACAGAGAGGGAGACACAGAATTTGAAGTGGGCTCCAGGCTCTGAGCTGTCAGCACAGAGCCCGATGCAGGGCTCGAACTCACAGACCGCATGACCCGAGCCGAAGTCAGACACTTAACCGACTGAGCCACTCAGGAGCCCCACGTACAGCTCATTTCAATTCAGGTGTTAACTTTTCATCACAAGCACTGGATACATATTTAGAGTTCACAAAACTTAGATTTACAATATTGACCTAAGTTGTTCAGAACGTACTTAAAAGTTTTCCAAATTACTAAAGCCAAGTTCCAGCTTCTAAACTTAAATTTAAAAATAATTAAAATTGGGGCAACTGGAATAGCCCAGCAGGAAAAGCATGAGACTTTTGATCTCAGGGTCATGAGTTCGAGCCCTACATTGGGTGTAAAGTTTACTTAAGTAAATAAACTTTAAAAAAAAATAACAACAATTAAAATTAAGTGCGATTAAAAAATGCAATTCCTGGGGCGCCTGGGTGGCGCAGTCGGTTAAGCGTCCGACTTCAGCCAGGTCGCGATCTCGCGGTCCGTGAGTTCGAGCCCCGCGTCGGGCTCTGGGCTGATGGCTTGGAGCCTGGAGCCTGTTTCCGATTCTGTGTCTCCCTCTCTCTCTGCCCCTCCCCTGTTCATGCTCTGTCTCTCTCTGTCCCAAAAATAAATAAACGTTGAAAAAAAAATTAAAAAAAAAATGCAATTCCTCAATCACATGAGCCACATTTCATTGGCTCATTGACTACCTTGATGGACAGTGTGGCCCCAGGGCTGAGAATACCCACTCATAGTCTGCTGCCCTTATGGAGGGAATAAATTCTGGAAATCAGTTCTGAATGAGCCCATTTGCAGAACCGGAGTAATGATGTACTGGTTAACACAGGCTCTGGAGGCAGACATTCCTGGGTTCAAGTTCTAGTTGGAGTGTGTGTGGCCTTTGGCACATGATCTCATTCCTCTGAACCTTTCTTTCCTTATCTGCAAAATGGCTATTATAATACCCACCTCCTAGGGCTCCGTTGAACAGATAGTAAATGGTCAGGAAACGGAACGTACTTGTGATTATAGTTATGGTGATGGCCATGGCATTAGTTTCCTAGAGCTGCTATCACAAAGTACTACAGCCTGGGTCCTCTTCGCAGTTCTGGAATCTGGAAGTCTGGAATTAAAATGTCAGCGGCGTCATGGTCCCTCCAGAGTCTCTAGGAGAGGATCCTTCTTTGCCTTTTCCAGCTTCCAGTGGCTCCGGGTATTCCTTGGCTTGTGGTGGCCTCAGTCCATCCCCACGGCCTTCACATGTCATCTTCCCTCTGTGTGTCTTGACATCTTCTGTCCTAAGAACACCAGCCGTACTGGGTTAGGGCCCACCCTGGTGACCTCATCTCATTTTGATCACACCTGCAAAGACCCTACCTCCAACTATAAGGTCACACACAAGTCTGGGAAGTTAGCCCTTCGGCCCATCTTTCTGGGGAACACAGCTCACCCCATAATAGTTATGATTATTAATTACCCGGCTGTGGGGTGTATATATTGCTGTGGTTGATGGGCATCGTGCCTGATGGAACTTGTCCACTGAAGGTGAAACCTTGAGGAATTGTGAGTCTGGAATTCCAGTCCAGCTTGCCTTTCCCTGTGCTACGCCACAAAGCCCTCCGCAGCAAAAGTCATAAAGAATAAATGATTCAAAAGCACACCCTACCACTTTCACTTGACGTTACTCAACTCGAAAGCTCCTGTGCCACCCAGTTCCGTTTCTCTTTCCACAAGACGGATTGCTTGCTCCGCTTCGCTTCTCCGTTTGGTTGTGTGGGCTAAGCTCGTCTGGCTGGTCAAAGCCTTTTACAAATGAGCGCTTAGCTTTCTCTCGCGTTCTCTGAGTTGCGTTAGGTAGGGCAGCAAAAGGCCACCCCCGTCCCGCTCAAGCACGGGGCAGGATGTCAGCAGGTGGAACAAAATATGATGCGTAGTACACATCACCAAAGCCTTTGATCAACGCTCCTTTTAAGCGTTGGGTTGAATGTTAGCCTGAAGACATAAATACAACTGCATAGGATATGACTTACCAAACAGAAGTTTTTAATTCTATCTGACGAGGAAGGTTGCTTGCCTTGTTTCCCCAGAAGCACTAATAATCAGGTAATGAGCGAACTCTTTGAGATAAAAGACTCCTTTTATGATTATCCTTTGTGAGGATGTTTTAAGTCTCACCAAATGCTGAGCCGGAAGGTAATGGCACGTCCCTTTCTCCATTATAAAATCTCTTCGATGATGCACGCCTTTGTCAGAGTCTGAAAGGACCTCTCCCTTCCACTCTGGACGCCAATTTGCACAGTTGTATTTTGCTGCACAGCCCAATGTAATTAGGTTAATTAGTCATTTCCATTTAGCTTATTAGAAGGCTAGAAATCCCTTTGCCTCATTTGGAAGATTAAATGTTGCAATTGTGCTCAACCCAGAGCCTCAAGAATGCGTGTTTCAGACCCAGTCACGGCAGCTGGGAACGCTGATCGGGGCATAATGTGCTCAGTTTTGTGGTATCGCCCGAGGGGGTAACGGGCCCGCAGAAGGGTTAATGGTGATGCCAGCTGGGAGCAGGGGTGAAGCTGTAAGAAGATGGGAGTCGGTTCCTCAGCCCAGAGAGAAGTAATTACAGTAGCGGCAGCTTTTCGCAGCCTGTCAAGAGCCCTCCTGCTGGCGGCCCAGATGTCAAACTTTATTAATTGAGCACTTGCTAAGCGCCAGGCAGCCTGCTAGTTCCAAGGCTTTCGGAGACGCCTAAGAAAGTCCTTGCCCGCAGGGAACTCACAGTCTTGTGGGAGTGACAGGCAAGTAAGCCAGGTGGGGGGATTCAGTAACTGCAGGAACCCCAAGGAAGCAGCAGGGAGGGCGTTACCATCTTCAAAGCACTCGTTTCTACATTAGAATGTGAGCAACAGGGGACCGGGATTGCTTGGCCTCGTTATCCAAGTGGGAAAATCAAAGCCCACAGTCTCTGAGTCACAAGAGGCTTGTGGGGCAGTGGTGCTGGGACCAGAGCCTTCCACTCCTGGCTCCCCCTTCCCCGTGCTACACACCACTCCCCCTGGCCCCCACCTCTCAATAGAGTGACATGCACCCCCTGCTTAGTGGCCAAGGTCAGGTGGGGCAGGGGGTGGGGGGGGGGGGGACACAGAGCCCGTGTGAAGGGGCACGTGAAGACAGGACCTGTGTTTGTCCACGTGGGAAATGAGACTCGGCGAGCCCAGGCTAAGGGTCTATGTCCTTCTCTAGCTTCACCTGCCCCGGGTCACCCGTAAGACCCCTCTGCTGCTGGCACACCGCTTTCTGACAGGCCCCCCCTCCCCTTTCCAGACTTTGACTCTCATTGACCCCACCCCATTAAATGCCCTTCCCTTTTCTCTCCCTCCATCTCTGCCCAACAGAATTCTACTTACATCCGAAGGCCTCCCTCATCTGTCCTTTCTCCTTAGCTTAGGACTGCAAGTTCCTTGAAGGCGTGTGTCCTTTTATTTTATTTTTTTTAACCTTTGTACCCCCAAGTGCCTGGCATGAAGCATTCAATAAATGTTGAATGGATGGATGGATGGATGGACGAACAGATGAATTCAAATAGCAAGAAGGTATTGGGATACTTAAAATTCATAGCATTGTGGTAGATGCTTTGGACATACTCTACCTTTTAATCTCATGGAAGAGACCAAATGTATAAGCAGAGTCAAGTAATAATGGAAAGAATTGCAGAAAAGTGTCCAAGTGACTAATGTTTATGTGGGCATTGTCAAGGAATGGGATGGGATGAACCACCACCCAAAATTTGGTTTTGACATCAAGACTGATGATGCCACGGACACACCAAGAGAGTATTAAAAAATGTATTACTCACATGGCATCTGGGTGGCTCAGTCGGTTAAGCATCCAACTTCGGCTCAGGTCATGATCTTACAGTCTGTGGGTTCGAGCCCCACGTCGGGCTCTGTGCTGACAGCTCAGAGCCCGGAGCCCGCTTCAGATTCTGTGTCTCCCTCTCACTCTGCTCCTCCCCTGCTCACACACTTGCTCTCTCTCTGTCTCTCTCTCAAAAATGAATAAACGTTAAAAACCAAATTTGAAAATGGCTTGAGAGAGCCCAAGACAGTGACAAATTTGGTTTTTATTTTTTTTTTTTTTTTGTTTTATTTATTTATTTATTTATTTATTTATTTATTTATTTATTTATTTTTAGTAGTTTAAGGTTGGGGCAGGGGTGAGTATTTCTGTATGTGAGCAGGGGTTTACACGGTTCGGCTTCCCTCCAGCACCCGAGGAGGGAGTACCAAGACTTGCTTATCAGCTTGCTTGGATGTGGAGGAGAAGAAGAAAGTGTGGGGTGGTGGCAGGGGAGTGGATAAGGCTTTAAAGCTGTCAGCTACCAAACATCTGAACCTTGAATCAGACCCTTTGTTAAAGATTTCAACACTGAGTAGTTCCAAGTAGCCCACGCAAGAAGGATGAGAAGGCTCTGTGTTTCTCTGTGAGAGAGAAGGTACCTGAGAGAGGTTGCTGATTATGACCAGGACTGTAACAACCTGTAGGACCTTACCACATGCTAATTGTGACCAGCACAAGAAGAGGAAGGAGTGGGGCGCCTGGGTGGCGCAGTCGGTTAAGCGTCCGACTTCAGCCAGGTCACGATCTCGCGGTCCGTGAGTTCGAGCCCCGCGGCGGGCTCTGGGCTGATGGCTCGGAGCCTGGAGCCTGTTTCCGATTCTGTGTCTCCCTCTCTCTCTCTGCCCCTCCCCCGTTCATGCTCTGTCTCTCTCTGTCCCAAAAATAAAAATAAAAAACGTTGAAAAAAAATTTTTAAAAAAGAAAAGGAAGGAGTGGAATTTGGGGGGAGGAGAGATCAAGGATCTCTCGCATGATGAAAGTAGCGTAGACAAAGAGCTGAGTTGGGAATGAGTCCGGCACGGTTCCAGGGTTGGGCACTGATACTCTTGGACAGAGTAGGAGGGAAGAAGGACACCCGGTTCCCCGGATGGATCGGAAGGAAACGCTAGATGAAAACGTTTGATTACTAAGTTGCGTATTTGGACTTAGTTCTTACTGGAAGCAGGCAACTCATGGAAATTTCAGTGTTGGCGTTCACACAAAGTCACCATCTAGAGGCACCTTGGGAGAGAACTTGAGTTGCCAGCAGAATGAGTATTGAGATAAAAGGAAGGAGTCGGAGACTTGAAACGTCTGGGCTCCGTGAACAGAAAAGTCATGGTATCTTTTCTTGTCCCTCTTCCCAATCAATACCCTGCAGGAAGGTGCAGTTCAATGTGCTACTGATAATAATCCAAACACTTTATTTGCTAGCCCTTGCACACTATTAGTACAGTTTGCTGAGGCGACTTGATCAAAACACCTCCTTTTCCTTGAGCTTACCTGGGGGGAAGATCCAAGATTCCAGACGCGAGTATGAGCAAGACAGAATTACGTCTATACTCGTATCTCGTTCCTTGACACCTTCCCCCTGCCCCCAACGCAATGAAAACTATAGCTTTCTGGAGAAACTGTATTTCACAGCAAGATTCTCCAAAATGTCACAGGCACTTTCATCAATGGAAGAATTCTGTAATCTGGATCGAGACATTGAGGGATCCGCCAAGAGTTGGAAGAAGTTTGTGGAATCGGAATGTCCTGAGAAGGAGAAGTTTCCACAGGAGTGGAAGGACAAGACAGCCCTGCAGCGCCTCTGTATGATGAGAGTCATGCGGCCTGACCGGATGACCTACGCCATACGGTACGGGACAGGGGACAGTGGGGAGCCCCAGGCTGGGCGTGGGGCAGTCTCGACGTGGCCAGATTGGCAGAGCTGAGCACAAAGGTCATGTGTTTCTAGTCACAGGGGTCTTGGTACCAACATCCAAAATCCAGTAAGGCCTGTTGCCCTATGTCAGCCATGTATTTTCTTAATAGCTAAGTGGACAACTTGGAAAGAGGTGAGCCCATCCATATCAGCATTGAGAAGGCTGCTGGTCACATCTGTTGTGCTGGGAGATGATGGTACCCAGAGAAGAGCTGGAAGGATCACCCATAGCAGGAAGAACGTCTCTCCGACCGCAAAGAAGGGAGACAGCGATATTTGTGCCTTTAGCTGAGGTGGTAGGATGATGGTGGAAAATTGAGAACCGTGTCTAATGACGTCTGTGTTCATCAGTTGAGTCTGTGCGCGAGAGGAGGTGGCAGAGTTAGAGATTTGAGAAGGGCGCAGAGTTTGAAGTAGAATCTGTGACAAGTGGGAGAGAAGACCCACCAGGGAAACCCAAAGAATTATGAGCGGCATTGAGAGCCCACCTAGTTAAGATCATGTATTTACAATGGCACCTGTCTTCATCAGTGGTTCCCTGTGGCAACGTCCAACCACCCAGGTGTAGATTCAGAGTTAAGTTAGTCTGGAGCACAGCCTGGGGCTGGGTGGTGGGAATGGGACTTCTTGAGGTGGGCAGTAATCGTATTGGCATGATGAAAGTGTTCTAATTCTGGATTATGGTGAAGGCTGTACAATTCAGTAAACTTATTAACAATTATTGAATACTGCACTTAAAATAGACAAATGTTGTGCTATCAGTTATACCCCAAGACATTTTTTAGTTTTTTTCAAGGTTATAGGCCGTGGAGTCTACACTGGATAGGAAAGAGGAGAAGAGTGTAAGGGGATGGTTAAGAAACAAAACAGAGAAGCCACAGTGCTGAAAATCCTCCATTTGTGGTGGCACCAACACAGGGAAGGAACCGGTGGAATAAGGGTCAGTTGCTAAATCGCTGATGGAAGGTTTTCGGCAGAGAGTGGAATGTTTCCATTGAAGGTTTCAGATGTAGACAAAGTCCTTCAGTAATGGCAGGATAAAATGTGGCCACAAAACCAGGTGGCTGAATTGAGGAAAAAAATGAAGACAGAGGAACTGGACGATTATCCATGTGGATGTTGATGTCACTCAGGCTGGTGGAGAGAAGGTCTGTGAGCCAAGTGTTCAGGGAAGGGGTAGAGCGACAAGTGGAACAGTAAATGACGTCAATGTGCAGGGGACATGGCGATGCAGTATGGGGAATGGCAAGTCCACGGACCCACAAGAATGGAGAAGTCATGGTTTGCAAAGAGTAACCACCAGTGAGGAGAACCATGATCCCACCGTACCGTCCTGAGATATAGGTCAGAGGTAGGAGAATGAACCCCACTGTGGAGACGACAAGGAAGCAGTGTCCTTGGGGAAGAGTTAAGGCCAAGAGTTGGGCCAGATGGTCAACCAAGTGGTTGTAGCTGAAAGGTTTGTTCGGCGGAAGACAGGGCAGTGTGGAAAGGAACATTGACAAGTGGAGTAGGATGAAAGGAAACAGACATTGATAGAGTATGACAGCACAGGAAAGCAGAGGGCCTTGCATCTTGAGCTGAGATAGAGGACCGAGACAGAAGGCCACAGGGATATGGAGTGTGGAGGGTCCAGCTGCCTGCAAGCTTTCTGAAAGCATTGATCTTGGTGGCGTTCCAATGGACGGTGGTGATGTGACGGGACATCCAAGCTTCACAGAGAAGGTGGCAGTGGCCTGGATGTATGGGGATTCAGAAAGAGCCCTGATCTAGGACAGCGGGCCAGCCATGGTTGTGCATGTTGACTTAACAATGAGGCACCTGGAAGTTGGTCTCACCTCTGTGACTACCACGCCCATGACCTTGAGTGCATCCTTCCATGTCTATATGCCTCCATTTCTCAAGTGTTTGCTATTTTGTGACTGACATACACACGCACTTCTTTTCTGGCAGAGATTTTGTTGAAGAGAAGTTGGGAAGCAAGTACGTGGCGGGAAGAACGCCAGACTTTGCGGCCTCGTTTGAGGAATCAGGACCAGCCACACCCATGTTTTTTATCCTGTCTCCAGGCGTGGACCCCCTGAAAGATGTGGAAAATCAAGGTGAGAAAAACTCATCTTAGGGGTGCCTGGGTGGCTCAGTCGCTTAAGTGTCCAACTTCAGCTCAGGTCATGATCTTGTGGTTCATGAGTTCGATCCCCGCATCAGGCTCTGTGCTGACAGCTCAGAACCCGGGGCCTGCTTCAGATCCTGTGTCTCCCTCTCTCTCTGCCCCTCCCCCACTCACGCTCTGTCTCTCTCTACCTGTCAAAAATAAACAAAGATTGAAAAAAAGAAGAAGACAAACTCATCTTGGAGCCAAGGCCGCACCTGCCCCGTGAACTTCCACTCTTTGCATCCGGCAGTCTCTCTTCTCTAAACCCCAAGTTCACGAGGCAGTACTCAGTATTTGCTAACATACAGAAATCAGGGTCCTTGGAAACGAACACCAGGGGATTATCATCAGAGAAGGGACCATCCAGGGTGGGACACAGTAGAGTCCTGAGGACACTGGCAGGGTCCTGGAGAGACCTTGCCCCGCCACCCACCCATCTCTCACCGCACCCCCACCCCACCCCACCCCACCCCACCTTACTTGGGCCGGAGCAATCTTTCTGAAACACAAGTCTCACTCTGCTCTTCACGGCCTCTGATTGCCCTGAGAAGAAAGTCCAAACTCCTTAATGTGTCTCACAGGGAACTTCCTCCTCCCGTCCCTCCCTATTTCTCCAGCTTGCTTCCCAGCATTAGTTTCCTGTCGCTGCTGTAATGAATTACTACAAACCTGGAGGCTCGAAACAACACTAATTTATTATTTTACGGTTCTGGAGATCAGAAATCATAAATGGGTCTTACCGCCTCCCTCTTTTCCTTATAAGAACTCCTATGATTATATTGGGCCCACTTGGATAATCCAGGATAACCTCCCCATCTTGAGGGCCTTAATTTACTCGCATTGTAGAGTCCCCTCTGCTGGAGGATTAGGACGTGGACATCCTTGGGGGTCCATCATCCTTTCCACATTTTCCTACTCGCCTCTTTTGCATTCTACATGGCAGCCCTTCCATTCTCCCAAGCCTGCCATCTCCCTTCCTGGATCCCCTTCACCAGGCAGGCTAGCCTCTATTCATCCTTCAGACACCAATTTCTTTTTTTTTTTTTTAATTTTAATTCGTATCTCTTTTATCATGATTGAGTTGGGTATTTTTCCCTTCTTTTTTTCAATATACGAAGTTTATTGTCAAATTGGTTTCCATACAACACCCAGTGCTCATCCCAAAAGGTGCCCTCCTCAATACCCATCACCCACCCTCCCCTCCCTCCCACCCCCCATCAACCCTCAGTTTATCAGACACCAATTTCAATGTCACCATCTCCAAGAAGACCTACTTGGCTTTCAAGGTCCTTTGGTTCCCCCCCCCCCGCCATGTGCTCCTAGAGTGCCCTTCTTTATGTACATCACCTTGTACTTGTCTAGTGACTCCTGTGTCTTCGTGAGAGGGTGAGAGCTCCTTGGGAACAGGTGTCCTTTTCTCCAGAGTGTCCCCACTTCCTAGGACGGTGAGGGATACTAAAGAAATATGTACGTTCGACGAAAGAATGAGCAAATGAACAACTAATCAAAACCATCACACTGGCCAAACGACACCATTTTGCAAAGTTAAATAAAGACCCGACAGGTTGGAACCTAGCCCAGGTAATACAGCTCCAAGAGCAGTCCATTCATTTACACAGTGAGAGAACTCTACAGCATGCCTAGTGTTGGGGGGTGGTTGAGAAGAAGCTAACTTGGGTCCTAAAGAATGGATAGGGTCTACAGCAGGGAAAGAATTGTCTTATCCGCTAATTTTATGTGTATGTGTGTTTCTGTAGTCTCCTGATAATTTCAAGTGACACTTGCACATTTTTAAAATACAGTAAAACCTTGGGCTGCAAGTAACTTGCTCTGCGAGGGTTCCACAAGACAAGCAAACATTTCTAATAATTTTTAACTTAATAAAAGAGCCATGTCTTGTAATGCAAGTAGCACATGACGTCGAACGTCACATGATCACAACTGAGCCAATGGGTTTTGAAATTCGCTTTGATATACGAGTGCTTTGGATTACAAGTATGTTTCCAGAACAAATTATGCTCGCAAAGGTTTTACTGTATAGATAATATAGACTTTAAAATGAAAACCAACATTTCCCAGCTCCAGTCCTTCCCATACCCCGTCTCCCTTTTCAGACACATTTTGTTTTGTTTTGTTTTGCTTTATTATTTTATCTTATTTTAATTTAATTTATTTTATTTTACTTTATCTTATTTTTGCCTATTTCTAAATTTAGTTCTGGGAACTGCTTCTCTATTTCCTACTAATCTTCTGCCCATTTCTTCACTGGATTATTTGGTTTTGGGGTGTTGAGTTTGATAAGTTCTTTATAGATTTGGGACACTAACCCTTTATCCGATATGTCATTTGCAAATATCTTCTCCCATTCTGTCAGTTGCCCTTTAGTTTTGCTGATTGTTTCCTTCGCTGTGCAGAAGCTTTTTATTTTGATGATGTCCCAATAGTTTATTTTTGTTTTTGTTTCCCTTGCCTCTGGAGACGTATTGAGGAAGAAGTTGCTGCAGCTGAGGTCAAAGAGGTTTTTTCATGCTTTCTCCTCTAGGGTTTTGATCGTTCCCTGTCTCACATTCAGGTCCTTCATCCATTTTGGGTTTATTTTTGTGTTTGGTGTAGGAAAGTGGTCCAGGTTCATTCTTCTGCATGTCGCTGTCCAGTTTTCCCAGGACCATTTGCTGAAGAGACAGTCTTTATTCCATTGGATATTCTTTCCTGCTTTGTCAAAGATTAGTTGGCCATACGTTTGTGGGTCCATGTCTGGGTTCTCTATTCTGTTCCATCGATCTGAGTGTCTGTTTTTGTGCCAGTATCCTACTAATCTATCACTAGTTTTAAATTGATCAATTCTAGATATCTATTTATTCCCTGATGTAAAAAATAAGAATTTGGCTCCCACTGATGCCCACTAGGACTCTCTACTTTCTACCACATTTTTAACAGCTTTACTGAGATATAATTCACATGCCATATTCACCCACTTCAAGTATACAATTCAAAGTTTGCTTATATTTTCACAAGGCCATGTGACCATCACCACACTCTAATTTTAGCAACTTTGTGTCTCTCTGCACCCCCCCCCCAAATTCTAGATCCCCTAGTGAGTACTTCTGTTCCATCTTATGTCCTCCCAAGCCCACCACCAATTTACTTTCTGGCTTTAAAAATAAAATATGCCTGTTTTGGACATCTCCTAGAAATGAAATCATATACTATAGGGTCTTTTGTTGCTGGTTTGTTTTACTTAGCATAATATTTTCAAGGTTTTTGCTGTAGCATGTATCACTCCTTTTCTATGACTGGATAATAGTTCATGTAGATCAATCTAGAAAGTGTTAACAATATTAAGTCTTTTGACCCATCAACATAGAATGTCTTGCCATTTGTTAAGGTCTTCTTTAATTTCTTTGATTAATATTTTGTAGTTTGGGGTATAAAGTCTTGCATTTTTTTAATTGAATAATAGTTAACCTACAGGGTTATATTAGTTTCAGGTGTATAACATGTATATTTTTGTATATTGATCTTCTATCCTGCAACCTTGCTGAACTTGTTTATTAGTTCCAATAATGTTTGTGAATTCCTTGGGTTTGTTTTTGTTTTTGTTTTTGTTTTTGTTTTTAGATACAAGTTTATGTGATCTACGAATAGAGGTAGTTTTACTTCTTCCTTTCCAATCTGGATGGCTTTTTATTTCTTCATCTTGCCTAACTGACCTGCCTAAAATTTCCAGCACAATATTAAGTCGAAATGGCAAGTTTGGACATCCTTGACTTGTTCTAGATCTTAGGGAAAATTCATTCAATCTCCGCCAGTAAGTATGATGTCAACTGTGGGGTTTTTACAGATACCCTTCATCAGATTGAGCAAGTTGCCTTCTAGTTTGTTGAATTTTTTTTTCCTTTATCATGAAAAGGTGTTGGGTTTTATCAAGTGTTTTTTCTGTATCCATTGAGATGGTATCATTTTGTCGTTTATTCTATTGAGATATTACGTTAATTGATTTTTGGAAGTTAAACTAACCTTGCATTCTTGAGATCTCACCTGATCCTGGGTTATAATCCTTTGTATATATTTCTAGATTCAATTTGCTAATATGTCTTTGAGAATTTTTACATATATATTCCTAAGAGATGCTGACCTGTTGTTTTCTTTCCTTGTGAGGTCTTTGTTTTGGGTATGAGGATATAACTAGTGACCTATATACCACCTGATTTGGGAAGTGTTCCTTCCTCTTCTATTTTTTTGGAAGACTGATATTACTTCTTCATGTTTGATAGAATTTAGTGGTGAAGTCACCTGGGCCTGAGCTTTTCTTAATGGGAAGTTTTTGAATCACTAGCTTAATAGGGGGTGGGAGGGAGGGGAGCGTGGGTGATGGGTATTGAAGAGGGCATCTTTTGGGATGGGCACTGGGTGTTGTATGGAAACCAATTTGACAATAAATTTCATATATTTAAAAAAAAACAAAAAAAAAAAAAAACAAAGACGTCAGAGAATTCCTCTTTGACAGGCATAGACTAAGACAAAAGGAGTTATGTGACCGCTAGCCATATATTCAGAAGAGTTTAGACAATACAGCGCTTTGTTATATTTCATGAGTTCATAGGACCCAAAGAAGCTAATACAGTAGAACAATAGCTGACATACCAGGTTTTTCAGTCATACTGTCAGTTGCTGACAGGTTGCCAAACTGCCTTTGGCCTGGCTCTGAATCCACATCAGGCAAAGTATTAAAATGGTCATTTCCATTTAACTTTGAAAGTCCCGGGTTATCTGAAAGATGAATCAAAATCAAATGTGGCCTGTGCATCTGATGGCAGAATTATTCTATGTCAGCCCATAGTTGGTATCTTAGTTTCCTAGGACTGCCACAGATTACCACAGACTAACTTAAAACAATAGCTGTTTGTGCTTTCATGGTTCTGGAGGCTTAGAAGTCCAAAATCAAGG